TCCTTCCATGTCCCTTTGGGGCTATGAAAAAGTCATTCCCATTCGGCTGGTCCATCAATAACGTGACAAATTTCATTTCTCAGTTAGCAACACTAGCTGAAGAGATACTGCATATCTTATCTAGCAAAACTGTTATTTCTGTGATTTCTTCTCATTGAATACGGCTTCTCTATTCATATCTTGTCTTCTTTTGATGTTGTTCTATTTCTGCCTTTTTTCGTCTATACTCTGCATCCATGCATGGAGCTGTGATTCTTTTGTGTCTACTCTTTATTTCCAAAAAAACTTCTTTGGGCAAGGGACTGCCCATTTTTCTGCACTTTTCATACGTAACCTTCCCATTTTTACTTTAAAAGTATTCTCTATTCTCTCTTCTGGCGCTTTTCCTCAGCTGCTGCAACAGGACACTGGGGAAACATCTTCTTTAGGTGCAGGCAATTATCAGACAATTCTGTGTGTATAGCATTCATAATTGGTTTATTCGTTATTCGTGAAATGCTAACTTATTCAGCGTCTTTTCATCAGACAAATTTGAGTATAATGACTGATTTTTCTCTTTTGTTGCAATTAAGTCTGCGCAACCAGTTCTCTGATGCCAACCAGCCCTTGGACAAATTTGCCGTTCATAGCTGTTCCATTATTATTTGTTCATCAAATAACTTTTTAGCATGCATTTTGAAAACTGTGTAATGGGTTACGAAAGTATCCTAGCTAATATAGACTTGTAAGCAATTGGGTCACAAGATTTTAAATAGAGATCTAGGCTGCGCAATCAAATCTTTTTTATACGTTTCAGAGAATCATAGTCATGTGTGGTCTCGTTTAGCAGCACTCCAGCCTCTCTTCAGGTGCAGGACGTCTTTTTTAAATGGCATCATCGACATCTTTTGCCGGGCCAAGGGCAGTGGCGTAACAATGTCACCTAGGGGCTTTATGAATAAAACTGAAACAATGCCCCTGTATCTACAGACTGCTAGAAGGTCCCATCCCATGATGCACAGCCTACTAAAAAGAACAGCATGATGTAAATGATAATTGTTTTTGTGAACTAGGGATAAATAAATTTATATGCTTCAGTGAAGAAACTTTTAGAACTTTTGAAAATAAGGTGAACCTGACTGAGGTGCCTTAAACTGGTCAAGGGCGCCGAGAAAAAATTTGATAAAGGTATAAAATTGGAAATACTATAATTAGTGTAATAATGATACCAGACATTCGGATTTTAGATATTCAATCAGAATATCCAGGTACCGCGGAGCAGGGATGGCTGGGGGCTTTAGCATCCCACTTTTCACAAAAATTGCAAAAGATTTAAGAAGTAAACCACCAGTAAAGCATTTTTTAATTCGGTGTTAGCCCCCGCACTTTTTTAGACCCCCACCCCCATTTTACGCAACCCTCCGCGGTGCCTGATATCACTACGAATATATCAATAAACTATTTTTAGATTAACCTTTTAGATTAATCAATATTATTTGCATAAAAATTAATTTAGACCTTAGCTGTTTTCTTCAGTTGGGTTAGTTAAAAGCCCAGAGGAGTCAATCAGACATTTTACAAACGGGGAGATCCATCTGCAATTATCAAAATTCACCTAAAAGAAACGAAAACAAATTTTACAGGCCCAAAATTGTTAGCTAAAAAGTTTTGATAAAACCCAAAAGATATCAAAGTACTAAATCTTGTTGTTGAGCATATAAGATAACACTAGTCACAGTAGGCTACTGTAAAATGTGACTTTGTAAAATGTTGTGAAGACCCCTTGAAATATTCCATCTAGAAAGCAAGGAGTTTTTTTGCCATTAGGGATGCGTTTTCGGTTTGTTCAAACTTGTCTGCAAACAATTGATGCCTCACTCACTTTGTTTGCATATAACGCCTGAATGCATCCACCCCTCTCCCTCCCCCAAGGCACGGTAGCTAGCAGTTGCACTGCTTACACCCTAAGTAAAATTTTCAAACAGAGTTTAAAAGAACAGCCAGCCTTCAGTTTAACATACTTGCTCTTATAAAAAAGAGTGTATCCCTAATTTGAACAATTTTTGTAACATCAAGGAAGGTTCATCGTATAAGCCAATATAACCCGATACGTTGACTTCCACAAAATCATGGGTGGTTGGCGTTTAGGACTCGTTTACTCGCATATATATATTCTGCCAGGGACACGAATGACTTGCTGGAGCGAGAGCCTTTATTTTAATGTATAAGCTCAGGATGTATAGTCTCAATAGAGCCTCTCTAAAGCTACAGCCTAGCCCAAAGCAACGTCTTTGCAAGGATTACACCTTGCGTCCCCACAATAATCCTGTCGAACCAAAGTTGAACAACCAGAAATGTGTTAGAATTTACGTGACTTGACGCAAATTCAACTTACAGCCTCATTTTGAAAATTCTTCAAAACATTTTATACAAAATTTTTGACTCAAGAATTTTAGTCTACTTGAAAGTTTTCATTATGTTATTGCTCACGATATTGATTTTGTGACGACATAAAGATAAAAATTTTATAAGGAATTTGACTGTGATTGGCGACCGTGAAGGGGGTTAAAATTTAACCTGGAACGATTATTGGGATAAAATTCCTTACAAGTTTTTAAACTTTATTTCTCCATACAATCTAACATCCAAGCAAAAAAAATGATGAAAATTTGAATTTAGCTGGGAAGTATGGTCATAAAACCAAATCTGAGCTCAAAAAAGTCGTAAAATGAAGTTTGGAGTAATTTCAAAATGAGGCTGGTGACAATGTTCGCGGGTTTAACTACAAGTACCAGAATGCATTGCGTAATGGCGTGATTAGGGGAAAGGTCTACTGGTATATTCAACGACGGACGGTGACAGCGACTGATTGTATTCAAAAACGATACATCAAAAAGAACTTTTCTCTTTGGGATCACTTACGTTTGCGAAATTGATATCTTCGTTATTTCACAATATCAACGCAAGGATTACTTTTAGTTTTTGATTTTATAAAGCACCTTCTAACCTGTGGTATCGGTAGATTATCTACAAAGTAAATCGGTGTAAGAACATGGTAGGCACTTTACGGGTGGTCCATTCCGACGATTTCATTCAACGTTTCATTCAATCGTCTTTGATATTCTTTTTTCAAAAAAGCACAACGTATATGCTCTTTCTGAACAGCATCTGAAACCCTGCAACGGGCAAGAATTTAAGAACTGTTACGGAATTAGACAAACTTTGTTTGGTATTTGTGTCTTCAAATTATTGCCTTTAGGCTTTTGAAAATTGAATTCACCGTTGTGGCATTGGGCTAGTGAGGATGTCTATGTACAAGGGGGAATGCAGGCACTGCGGAGTAGGAGGGCTAGGTGGACTACAGCCCTTAAAATTTTTGCAAAAATGTAAGGTATTATGAAATGAACCACCATAAAAGCCTTTTTTATTTGGTTTTAGCACCCTCGTCTGACTTTATAAGATGTCTCTTTACCGGATAATTGGTTCGTTGAAATGCAACAAGGATAAAGATGCTTTGTTTTACAGGGTGGGTTCGGGGCTAAATCAGTGGCGATTATACGGGGGGCCATGCCCCCCCCAGAAATTTTCTTTGTCCCTTGTTTTGCCCCCCCCCCGGCTTTTTCAAAAGTTTCTATTAAAAATTCAATGTTTTCTGCCGAAGCTATTCAGTTGTTTTTTCACTTTGTTAGGGTTGCTCTCTTTATTTTCGTCAATACTATCTTTATTGCATTTATTTAACAAACTAGGGGCCACGATGAACGTTTTGGTTTGTAACCGAGGTGGACATTTATGAAATTTTGGCTCCTTTCTAATAAGTTACCAAGCAAAAACCAAGTGTTACCAAGAGTTTTGTAGTTACCAAGAAAACTCATTCTTGACAATCATTTAAATTCTATTTTTGCTATATATTATCACGAAGATCCACCTTCTTGCGGTGGGGTGCGCAGGGTCAGCCCAATACCATCCCAGTATACCTTGGCAATCTACTATTGCTTATCGAAATTTTATGACTTGAAATTCTGTGTAACAGAATGATTTGCTTGATCTCATGGAGGTTGGATATAAGACATACCTATTATGGAAAAATTTTACCAATTAACCTCATAAAGCTATTAGATTTTTATTTTATAGAAGTTTAGTTCTTCTGTTGAAAATCATGATCATGATGCATTATTGTTAAACAGATAAAACTCAGTTGAGTAATAGAACAAAGTTACTTTTATTCAAATAACAAACGGTCCCGAACCTTTAGGGAGCCCCAGCAACAATTTTTCTTTGTTATTTTTCCTAGGGGACACAGCTGCTCCTTACACCACTAATAAAACTATTTGGAAAAATGATAACAAACTTGAAAGAGCTGTACCAAGGACATACTTATCTATGGGGAGCTAAAAACCGGTGCCTTGTAGCTGGCTAATTTTGAGCCACCACGCCACTGCTTTACATTCTACTAGTTCCCAAAGTAATAGCTAGAGTTGGCTCCTATAACTGAAAGATTGGCCCCCGGTTAGCCCCTCTATTCATTCAGCTTCGTTGCCCTTTTGCAAAAGTGAAAGAGAGAAAATGATACCCAATGGTGCGGAACTAGACCTTCAGATTTGCTGCCCCGGTGTATAAAAGAGGTAGTGGAGAAACAATATCCAGTTTAATTAGGCTAGGCCTTACAATTGGTTGCCTTTATGTACGTGAAGGTCAGTGGTGGATTTAAGGGGGGGGGGCAACTAGGGGCAGTGTGGTGCCCCTTTTTTAGAAATTGTGCGCCCCTTTTGAAGAATGAGAATCAGATGAAAAAGATTCTGAGACCGATAAGTTAATTTGCTTCAAGGATTACCTCAAAGTTATGTTGTTTATTCCGAAAATGTATCTGAAATTGCTGTATACAGCGTACTCTCGTCACCAATTTTTGAAAATTTTTCAGAGCCCCGCTACCAACTGCCCCTCCTTCAAATTTGCTCTGGATCCGCCCCTGGTGAAGGTTAGTGGGATCTTAAGATGAGACTTGAATAGAGATACACAAGTAATAGAATGAAGGTAAAAATCTTATTGATGCATACATATAGTATTAACTTACATGTAATATCACTATTTACAACTTTTCATCTTGAGTTGGCATGCTCAAATGTAACAGAAAAAGTATTAAATAAGGAAGATATCAACTTGAACGGCAAAAAAAGAATTTAAAGTTCTGGTCAGATCTTGAAAGTAAAAAATGCTAACAAGACGAAAAACAAAAAGAGTTTCACTGAAGTTTATCACGCCAAACAGCTGAAGATTTCATGCAGATTTCATTCATTATACAAAACTTGCTCTTATATAGGATTATATAAAGATAGAATTTGTAGACTTTGAGGGATAAATGACGTAAGCAACGCCACTATAAACTATATGAGAACATATTAACCACATCTTTACGTTTTATCAAGGGAAACTCGTCTTAGCACGGGTATTTTCTAATGACCTCCAAAATATTCCTGCGACCAGGTAATTTGATCTACAAAGGTAGATTGGAGATTGCAAAAGAATTTTAGCATCTAATAAGTTAGACAGGAGTGTGAAACCTAGCTCGAAAACACGACCTATCTGCTCCATCGGTCGATTTGACTTAAACCTTTTTAATTTACGATTGATTGCTGTAACTCGAATCAACTAAAACGCCAAGCGTCGACTAATATCATGAAGATATAATTTAAGAATAATATTTATATGTTACATCGAATATTACAACTTGATATCAATGAATATTGAAACTGGGCTGCACACTGTCTGGCATTTCATCTCTGTTTGAAATAATATTTGCCTGGTTTTTCAACTGTTGGCTACTTTGATTCAAACATGTTATGAGTTCACAGTTTGAACAGACAAAGGCCCAATATAATCTGGGCTGATAAAAACGTTTTTATATTGTTTTTATACTGATTATATTTCATATGATATTGGCATTGATGAATACCCGAATCAACCCAGTTGGAAATCAACATCCACGCTTAAATTATTGCGTTAAAACCCAGAATTATACAAAATTTAGACATGCTCCCAGAGAACTGGGATCGTCGATGAGATGTTTTTAGTGTTTTTTTACATAAATGTATATCTGAGGAGAGAGGTTTTTCCGGCTTCTACATTGACATTCAAATTTTCTATCAATAAACACGATCTTATTTGATTTTTTGGAAGCCCTGAAATCCAGGGGTCTCATTCAAACTTAAAAGGGGTGCAAAGAATTGAAAACTTCTGCATCAATAGATCAAAGCAGTGATGGGTAATTTATTCGAAGCTGTCTGGTCGAAGAACAGAAATCTCTCTCCTAACAAATATTGGTATACAAAGGCAATGGTATATTTTGAAAAACAGTAATAAAATATTTAGTAATCAAAATGAGATATTTACACAACTTTAAAATATCAACGCACAACATCGAGAAAATGCTTAAACTATTATATTACATAAGCGAGCCAAAATTCACACAATTCCTCGACGATAAATAAAAATTGAATGACGAAATAAATTCAGTGGGGAAGAAATGTGATTTAAGAAACAGCAGCTGTAAAGAGCAGGCTGGTATCACAAGGCTAAATTAAAACAAAAATACACGCAGGAGCACGGTTGTGTATATTAATAGAGGTAGTGTGTTGACTGATTCGTTTTTCAACACAGATGCCCAAAATTATCATACATTTAACACTTGTGCCATGAAAGTGATACGTTTTATTTTGATTTTCTTAAGCTCAAAGTCTGCTACACTGCGAGCAATTTAGCAATTTAAGAACGAAATACATTGCTCAACATTGCTAGACACTCATGTGAGCATTTCAGGTTTATTAAAAAACTCGTAACAGGGTTACCTCCTAGAATTCATCAATTACACTGCTAATAGAAATTTGAGGCTCTTGAAAGGCCCGAATTGCAAATCAAACAAGGGTAAAACTAGAAACAAAATCCAGCCTATCTATACACCATAAAACGATTACATTACTTAGCCATCTACAAAAACTATCAAAAATTCATCTCCTTGATAGATGTGCCAAACAAAGATTTCGCAGTTTACGTTTCTTTTTACCCAGTTTAGAGTCCTTGAATTATAATACAATCCTGGAAAATTTATTATAGAAAACGTCTTTTCGTACATAGTTCACAGTGTGTTGTTTTTACAGTCTCAATCTCTCTTAAAGCGAAAAAATTGGTTAACTAGAGGTATGTATCATTTTTCATTTATGCATCTTTCATGTGCCTGTTTATAGGACTTGATTGGTTGGTTTTCATTCCAGTTGCAATCAAAAGGAGATGAATATGTGACGTTATTTGGTAAGTGAAGTTTCATACATATTAACATTTCAACTATACAAAGCAGAGATTTTTCCATTTCGTTTCAATTAGATAAGGACCTATAGCTTTATTATTGGTTGCATCCCATCGATAATAGTAATGTCCTTTGAAAAAATACGAAACATCGTCCCAATAGTATCTAAAAGCTGAATCTAAGTTATCAGGAACGCCGGGGAAGCATTCGCTTATTGTTTTAGGATATCCAGTAGATACTTTATCGGTGGCACTGTCGAATTTGTAGCAAAGGTTCCCTTTAAAGAAATAACTCACTTGAGAACTCAGCGAGAAAGCTGCATCTATATTGTCAGGCACTCCACTCCAACCTGAGCTAATTGACTTAGGATAGCCACTCTCTACCCTGTCGAGCTGATCGTTGTACCGGTAATAATTGCTACCCTGAAAGTGGATATAAATTTTGAATTAGAACATTTAGGTGCGTGAAAAAATTAAGAAATAAAGAAGCCATTGGTTCAAGGAATTAATGCAATCATCAACAATGTATATAAATGTGAAATGGAGGCCATATTACTCTGCATACCAGCCCTCCTTCTGAAATGGCTTCTGTCGTTGCTGGTATTCGTGAGCAATTTGCAAGCAGTGAACTACGTTAAAATGGTTGCCAAAAGGCAATTTTATGATATTTGCCAGTCTTTCATTCAAACACAGCAAGGACTGCGGCTCAAATATTCTGGAAATTTACTCTGACAGCCCTTCAGTGGCTCAGAAAGGAATTGACAGTGCCAGGAAAACATGGCGGTCAAATGATCAAGGACTTTAAAGGCCAATAAAAACAAGAGAAAATTAAAATGTTTCCCCGAGCCCCGAAATTATTTTCTGTGTTTTCTAAGGAGGCTTTCCAAACTTGAAAAAATTTTACAGAGGAATGATGACCACCTTTCTAGACTTTGGTAACTGATAGACGCAAAAAATCACTTCTAAAGACACTTCAGAAGAAGTAGTTATCAAAGACATCATAAATGCAAACAAAGCCCTAAACTTTGCTTGTACCTTACCTTAAAAAAGTATGTTTTCCAATTTCCTGCCCAAAGAAAGCCTTCGTCGATATTATTGGGAACCCCTATCTTGTACCTTACCTTAAAAAAGTATGTTTTCCAATTTCCTGCCCAAAGAAAGCCTTCGTCGATATTATTGGGAACCCCTATCCATTGGGTGCCAACACTTTTTGGATAACTTGCTTCGCTTTTACCCGCAGCATCCAAAAATCTCCATGTATTTGCGCCTTTGAAAAAATATGTCCTCCCATTTGCTATCCAGCTGAAAACAGTGTCAATGGAGGTTGAGCATTGCCCTGTTGGAAAATATAATCTTGAAATAAGTTATCTAGAATCTTGAAAAATGTGCTTAAATCTCATTAGTTAACAAGCACTGAAAATGTAAAATTCAAATCTTTTACTTGCCAAAGTTTATGATAATATTTAGTTTCTCTCAAAAACCATGACAGGACCATACCAAACATACTAGAACAATGAATTTCGTCCGCTACTGCTTCTCAGCGAAAAACTTAGGCTGGCAACACTAATAAGAGACCCATTAGGTGTTGGGCCTTTTGTGGAAAATGATGATATTCAACGAGAAAACAGCCACCTTCTTTTTGCATTAGGCATGACTTTAGGATAAAATCAGGTCTTAGGAGGTGAATAAAACGTACCATTTTAGGATTTTAGTAATGAAAGTTCTTAGCTAAGTTTCTTAAATCGTAATGGGGTTTCTAAAAAAACCTAATAATGAATAACGTAACAGAAGAAGCATGTAACAAAGTTTTGAAGTTCTGTTTAAAAGCTTCAAAAAACATTTAGACCCATTGTTTGAGTGGAATAACTGTCGGAAAATTTTTAATTTTTCACAAAGAACCTTTTTATACCACTTTGAATTCATACTGCTATAGGGTATGAATAATTATCAGTGAATTTAAGAACTTGCCAACGATAAAAAACTGTTCTAGGAAACGTTTCTCAAATATTAGAAGCATGTGATGCTTGATTTTTTACAAAACGATTTCATGCAGAAATTCGTGGGTGCTGAAGCTTGCTCGAGTGTCATGCTCGACAACATTGAGGCATCTGCTGGAGACAGCATCTCCTTAATGACCCATTTTTTGTTCACTTTGTGTTCTTTTTCAGGGCGCTTAGTCTTTAATAAAAATACGAAATTGTCTACCAATATGGCGTTTTTGGTTAAGGATATGAGCTGCTCCTTCAGATTCTAAGTAAAGGAACCAACATCCGCCTCGCGTTTGATACAGCATTTAGAATCTGGAATCGTGCTCTTTGAAATAGAAAATATTGACTGTGTAAGGAAATCATTTCCAAAAACTCACAGACAATTTACATAAACGTTGCAAGAGGCTGGAGATAACACCTCAATACAATTTACCTAAATCTACGATTGGTTTTGTTGGTTTAAAGGCTATGAAGGAATTGAGAGAGTCTAGCACTGGGTAAGGATTTTACTTTGGCTGTTTAATGATCGGTTTTTCCAATTAAAAGCATGTTTGCTGCCTGCCACCTCAACTGTAGTCATCTGGCGGTGACTGTTTGCGTTTCAGAGAATACACGACAGAAGAATTCAGACTATGAGCTGAGCGCAAAGAGCATGATCCCCATTTGCAGTGCTGTTATCGCTAAATAAGCATTTACAGACTGCCTAGATTGAGCACAAAGCACTTATTCAGATTCAAGGATTGCAATAAAACGTGTTTGGATTTTGATGTATCTGTAGAGTTACTCATCATCAAAATTGTATCAAATTGGGTGCCCAGTAAAATGCAATGAAAATCCCAAAGATAATAGCAACTCAGGAGGGTCTATTAACTTAATTATGTTTTCGGGGCCTCAGACGAATTAGAAACAGTGATGGGATTATTACACAAGAGAATGAATAGTAAATGGAAATTCAACATAATAAATTAGAATCTTTGCAAGATGAGTAATGTCCGATTTTAGGTATTAAAAGTAACTGCCTTCCGATTAAACGATTATAGACTAAGATCTATTTGATGAAATAAAAAACCAAAATCAAAATGATGAAAATTCTAAAACAAACATCGTTCTATCAAGTGAATAAATCACATACGGATAGTGCAATTCTAGAAACAGGAACATGGGATCTCTGGCCAGGGACAGATTTACCGGAGGATACGGGGCTGTGGCATCCACTCCCAATATTTTTGCGTCGTTCAGAAATATTTGCATTGATTCAGTAAAAAGATTTTTCTGGTAGTCAAATGTAATCAAATGACGCTAAAATTTTACTTTATTTATCTTCTTATTATCTTTATCTTATAGCTAAAAATGGAATTGTAAAAATAAGCCCTTCCATCATTTTGAAGGCACATGAAGGGCGTGATAACAAAATCTAGCCATGATCTAATACCCCTCAATCTTTCTCTGTCTCTGGCTTTCAGTGGTCGTATTAAAGTTTTGTTAAGAGACAAGAAAATGGAGTACAGAAAACCGTCTGTTGGAAACCTTTATAGTATATAGCTCTAGAAACTAGAGTAAGTACTGTGTTGATTCAGGTGATGGGAAGATCAATGCAAGGAGAACAAAGTTAGATTACTCACCGTACATAGCTTGCGCGCCCCTGATGTCATCATCAGCAAGTGTTGTGGCACTACCTGCATGGTACAACGGGGACATAATGGATCCTGTGACTGAAGAGTGCTTCAGACCAAGCGAGTGTCCAATTTCGTGCACTGCAACCTTGTAAAGACTTTTTGAGGTTGTTGGCACCGTAGACAAACCGGTCACCCATGCTTCATCCTCGTCAAAATGGACATCACCACCAGCTGAAGGATAAAATGCATGGCCAAGAGTGTTTCCGGGGCCATCAAATGGTTTTCCATCTCCGTGTGAAACTAAAAATTGAGGCAAAAAATTAAGCACGAGTTCTATGGATCCTACCTTAATTTCATAGACTGAAAAATCATCATCACTCAGGAGATTGCTAAATGTTTCGAACTTTGTCTAAGTTTTTTAACGATTTATTGATGTTATGCTAAGACTGGTTTTTAACTCTCATTACTAATAGAAAAAGATCACGGTTACAATATGAAGGTAAATCTTCACATAGTGCTGCTATCGGACGAAACAACGGGTTTGTTTTGAATAAAATAGAAACTAATAACAGTAGTTTATCTTCAGTGGGATAAAATGGATCAACATGATTATATGTACTTCAAAAGATTCATTTCTAACTGGAAGAGGTCCCAACAGAGGACCTGGCTACAAGTATTAGATGTACTTGTTTTGGAAAGTCCACTGCATTCTATTTGAGAGCTGATTTAGCACAGAAGAGTTATCAAGGATATTTAATTGATTTCCTCAACAATCATAAACTTTTAACTAACAAAAGCAGGAGGAGAAGGACAATTATGAGCTAAAGGCAAGCAGACAACGCTATGCTTTATGTCATCCTTTTAAAAGCGGCGATAAAGTGAAGCGAAAACTGCGCATCCTGATCTTGGTTCAATGCTTGTGAGAACAGCCTTTTGTACTGCAGCGGTATTTGTATTCTGCGGGGGCGTACGGATCTGCTGATGCAGACATGGAGCATGAGCACGAGATCTAGGCACAATGCCATATCGGAAACAGAGTCAATTACTTGAAAAGGCGGAAAACGCTCAAAGGTATCGAGAAATTGCCTTCAATAAATTGCAGCCTTTGTTGGATGTTTTAAAAGGCATGTTTATACATCCGAGATCTTCCACTCAGTCAATGAAGACCTCTTTCAGCTTATCCGTAGCTTGCGTTAGGATGTAAAAGAGAGTAAATATAGGTATGAACATCCAGCCGCTTGTTTACAATATTCAAGTCTGCATTGCTACGAGGCAAAGCCCGTTGGCGTCTGTTCGCTGCTTGCCTTTGTTAAGTTCAATGCCTACATCTATCCCATACATATGAAAGGACAGGAAAGTTTAAATTCCCGTCTACAATAACACTCGAGTATGCGTTGCAAATTTCCTAGATCGGTCTTCTCTATAATTAGCCATGTATGTCTTCATCAAATCCCTGAATCATATAAGCATTTAATAGCAAATACAACCATTCGTTGATTGAATCATTCATTATTCTCGTGGATTCATTCTTCTCTTTATTCATACATTCATCGGCATACCCTTGATCAATTCCCTCCGTTTCATCATGCATTTCTTACTCCACCCAACTAACACAACATTGATAAAACTTCTACCAGTCTACTTAAAGTCAAAATCAACGAATAAAAACGAGGTAAGCTGCAGTGACGTAGCTACAAGCAATCCCCTGCCCACCCCACCTTGAGTCCAATTTCTTCTTCCAAAGTCTTTATCATCAAATGCTTACTTAAAGAATAACTCACACAAAATCTAACACAAAGTCATAATGTTCGTATGCCACCAATGCAAATGTGCATTGTACTACAAGTCAAAGAACAGATTTGCTCCTTTCCTTAGAAACAAGCTGAAGATCACAAATGCAGTAGATACACAGAATTTAAGATATTTCCACTTCATACTGGTTAGTATGATTATATCGTAACACATGTTGGTATTTTAACACTCATTCACAAATCAAGAGGCCAGCGCAAAGGTTATACCACACATTAAGGTGAAACAGAAGATTCGAATAGATAACAATGGTGAGAGAATCCCTTGCAAGTAGGCGTAAAGGTTTTATCTCAAACCTTATTTTCAGGTTGGGCAATCCTTAAAATTGTATCATTTTCAGCTTGACATCGACTTTCCTTCTAATCCTTTCTAAAGGTCGGTTCCTTTTTAAACATCTTTTGTTACTTACTGTCAACAAGATGGATTTTCTGGGTAACAGTCCCAATTAGAAGCTAGAAAGAGTCCGTTATGACGCAAGCTATAAGATCCATATACTTTTTGTATAAGTCAAAGAGGCCAAGAAAAATAGAGAAACGGGAGGTCTCTCAGTCACCATCCTTCCCTCCTCCGCCGCTGCGCTGCATTCACACCATTCCACATCAGCCAATCCGACAACACCATCGCCTCATCTAAATGTGTACATTTTTAGTCCGTTTAATTTTGCTCTGATGAAGCCCCGTATGTCGGGGCGAAATATTAACCTTCATTAATTTACGTGTATTTATTGTTGTTCATTCTCGTCGCATTGCGGTGTTTCTTATTTGCTACATTTTCATCGATTTTTCGCCGCAAGAACTCCTTGGAGTCCGTCGAGCAGACTGCTATCGTGACCTTTATTCACACAATGATGAATAAGGCCGTTGAAAAAAATGAGTCGGTAGAAGAGCACCCGAACTATGCAAATACTATGCTGCTTTTTCACTGTTTTGAGGAAAGATTTCAGTTGGACTTGCTTCACTGACCCTAAGGATAGACCGAGGTAGATTTACGTACTGAACAGTAGTCAGGTGCAACTAAAATGGTTTTCCCCATCACCGCTATCTTGAAACATGCTTGGAACCATTCACTCGATGATTACGTCTTATCGAGATAATAACACCTATTTATCATATCTTTCCTGAGAGGAAGGGCAAGCCGAAAATTTTTGCTTTTCACCTCAGTTCAAGCATCCAGGAACTAAAATTTCAAAATTTTTCGAATGGTTTACTCATGACTTCATCTATTACTGCATTCGTTTAAACCCAGTTGGGCAAGTTTTCCTCTTCCCAACCAATAAAATCAGCCAAAAGAAAAATGAATGGCAGAAAGGCGTTTACTTACGCGAGGCAAAGCGGACATTGATGTCGGCTCCCTGACTGTTGTCTGTGTATGTGAAAGTAAGTGGGGAAACCTCTGCCCAACGACTGAACGCAAGTTTAAGAACTTCCTTCTGATCATTGATGGCAAGCTTTGAACTTGGTTGTGATATGGAATATGTAAGGGCAGTCTTTGACCATTTGCTGCCTTCTACAACAAACCTCCTTCGTCGCATTATATCAGGCAACCATGAAACGTGTGGCCTCTTGTCTTCAACTCCGCATCTCGGCAGGCTCATAAGTTGCAAAGTTTCAGAATCGAGCATCATCGTCTTTTTCAAGGACATGAATTCTTGAAAATCTCCCAAGGCCCTTGGTATCTCACCCCTTCCATAGTTATTTGATGACGTCACTGACTTTTCGGGCTGTGCAGGAGCCGTCGTGGGTACTGAGGTGTTCACAACGCTATTGTTGCTTGTCACATTGATTGCACCATTAGCGAGGGGTGTACTTGTGGTTGGGGTCTTATCCGGCAGATAACCATATTTAACCAGATATTTCTAGGTAAAAGAAAGTTTTTTGCGTTGAATTCTTGATAACAATATCGATAAAATCATTGATTCAACAAGCAGTTTATTTTCAGTTAACACGAAAATTTATTTGACCAAAACATAGAAATCCAAGTAATTTTTGTAGGTAGTGTCACAAAGAAAGTCTTCGACCAGTATAGACTTAAATAACAGAAACAAAATAATTTAAGATGAAAAGATACTTTATTCTGAGAGAATTCCTCAGATAGTTCATCTACATAGGCCAAATGACATGCAAATAAGAGAGGTTAGATAGTTCTCATCGTTATTTAATCTTACTTTTTATTTACTATCCTCAGCTACCTGTAGCCAAAATCATTGGCTGCAAAGCAATTTCAATTTACTTAATTACATTACTCCATTTCATAATGCCGAGTAGGACTGCCAGGATTTTAGACTGTCGTATAGATTAAAAGTTAAGAGAAAATCATTTGCACGACTAAGGGAAAATCTCAACCTATTTCTATAAAGATTCAAAAAATTACTGTTAGACTGTATTCTTACATAGTGCTCGACGCCGGCAGAGCCGATCGCCCGATGCTCGTACGGAACTGCAACATATAGAACAGTCATGTCATATACACCGAAGTGTCTACAGAATTTCAGATATGAAGCATAATGTGATAACGCTCATTAACAACTACGTGCTTAATTCATAATTAACAGAATATCAACAAGCTTAAAGCGACAGCAACATGAGCGTTAGACTAGGTACAAATTATTTTACGAGTCGTTATGGGCGACGTATAGTTGCAATTAACATAAATCTCGGATGTTAACGATTGCTCGTGAAGCAATTAATCATTAGGACATATCCTACAAGTGGATTGATTGCGAAATAAACATTTTCAAATCAAATTAATTGCGGATATTTGTTAACATTTTGCTACAGCAGTTACTCATTTGGATGTTTCAAATCATGGTCAACTCGCTTCCCTGTCAAGTTGCCCCCCTTCTTTTCAACAATCACTGATAAGGGATGTTTTCATTGCAATATAGTGTATCAAACTGTTTTGATTGGCAGTCCACGTGATTTCAATGCCCCTGTCAGGATACCGTATTTCCTCTAATGAACGCCGTCCTCTAATGAACGCCGCCCTCTGATAAACGATGCCCTCTATTGAACGCCGTATCTTGAAAAGCGGCGTTCATTAGAGAACACACCAGACAAGAATCAAGGAATCGTTTATGCGCTAACTGTTCAAAAGCTATGAAAGTTTTTATGTCATAGTGACGAGGACTCCGACGGAAACTGGGATATTGACATTTATGGACATTGCCATAGCGTGAACACATCTTTTGTGAACTTTATAAAACTTTTACGTCTGTTTCTATCTTTTTTATCGCACTTTTCTTGTCATTTGTCATTTGACAAACTTTTCATTTTGTATTGAACGCCGCCCTCTATTGAACGCCGCATCCAAAATTTGAAGTTTGTAATAAAGGCCGGGGCGTTTTTAGAGGAATTACGGTATTGCGAGCTGAATTTTTTTATCAAGCAAGCATGTGAGATAATATACTTAGTGAAAAACAAAGCAGAACGTTTTAAGATTATACATTGATACGCAAGAAAATCAATTAGGAAGGGCAGGGTCTCCGATTCACTTTTACTTTAATCATACCAGGGTTCTATAGATACACTTTTTTCCTGCAAGGAAGTTTCATGTCTCTATGCTTGCAAAGATGAGTGGGTACTTTGCAACAGATAAACTCTTGTCTTCCTTAGTTCGTTAATATCACCAAACACAAACCCGCAGAAAAGTTTTGAATTGAGATTTTAAATTGCTATGAAACTGGTGACTGTTGCACACCCCTTAGTGATCAATGTTTACAACTCGAATTTTATGCCATTTTCTGTTGACGCGCTCAATCGTTCCTTTCCAAAGTACATAAGTTGTATATCCGTTTTCTTTATTTTTCCGAAGCTATACCATGCTCATCAGGGCCAGCAAGTGAAGGAGTCCCATTATTGGTGCCTAGAAATAACTATGCTGCATACATTCATACTTAGTAGGCAGCTTAAAAACAGTCTGCCTGAACTTAAGTTTATTGGTTCTTATAAAAAGAGTGTAAAAGGATGGCAATACAATACAAAGCCACTTTCTTTCACAAAAAGTTAGCTAAATGTAAAAAAATCTTTGCCATGATAGGACGTTTTGCTACCCCCATTCCGTGCTATTTTTTTTTATTTAGCATCACCAAAGGCATATCAGACTATTGGTTGTATTACACTAAAACTGTGCTGAATGAAGCAGCGATGCTCTTCTATAGAAATCCTGTCTATGTGCCTTGACAATACTGTCTCGTTATTTCTAGAAAACAAATAAAAAGCAAACATCCCTGCCGCTCTGTGTAACGGTCACATAGAGGGTTGCATCGTGTTTGGAAATTGCTGAATAGAGGGATAGCTATTGAAACCCATGCCCTTTGAGTAGAATGTTCCCATGGGCAATTTTGCGGGTAATTGCTGACTGTTCAAGGGAGTCATATCATACGATCAAGTCTAACTCTTGGCGACAAGAGACGAATCTGCCGGTCACCTTTGATTCCATTCATTGGATAATCTGGGCTAACACCTGTTTGGTCATTCATTCACTTCCTACGGGGTCGCATACAGATAAGTCACTAGAAATCATGTCACTTCACGAGGAAACATGTAAAATTGTGCGAAACAGGCGGCTTTTGACGCATAAAGAACCAGAGCCAATAGCGGTAGTACCTCCTCCTCTTGCCGAAATCCAGAACATTTACTTGCTCGAACACTTACCTCATCTAGGAACCCCTGGTTTAAGGAAACTTAAAGATGCGTCATAGTCTTTTAAGTTTCTCCTTAGGCGAGGGTCAGTTTGAGAAAGTAACTTTCAATAAAAGCAATAAACTGAATTGAATAGGCCTGTAAACTTTTCTTGCTAACGAAACCGAAAGAATACAATTATTTTCTATTAGCATTTGGTTATCTTCGACCTGCAACAAGACATTCCGTTTTTTATAAGAATACTATAAACTTTGTCCAGCCTCGAAAATATTTTTGTTTTGAGCCTGAACATATTCTTAAAGTATATTTTTTCAAATCTGATCTGGTTTCAGGGGAACATTGCTCGCCCTCAAATAAAAACCACGTTTTTTAAAAAAGGAGATGTGTCAGTCATGCTATTATCTGTTATGAACATGGCAGAATAGGCAACTGCTGAAAAATGAGACAAATATGTCAGCTGAAACTGAGCAATACATATTATAAAAATGTTCTTAAAAATATTGCTTCTTGAAAACATTATTCTTCTAAAAATTTCTGGGGTCAGTTTCCCAGAATAAAACTTGGGGACATTGTCCCCGAATGAGCAGGAGACGTAAGAACCCATGTTTTAATATGGGTTTATCGGAGGACGAAGGTAAGTCAACAATAAAAAAGGAGAAAATGCAAAATTTAGAAATTTACTCTGCAAGTTGAAGTTCTGTTTTCAAGCGGATTACTTATGGGAGGTCTTTTCGTAAATAAAACTCAGTTTGATTGACGAACGTCTCTCTTCCTAAAAATCAGCAGAGCGCCGCAGGAAGCAACCTTGTCCTTGTCAAGCATCAGCATATCATTTGCGAATCAATTTATCTTTCGGTCGTCATGGCTTACTTCATACATGCCCTGTTTGTTTAGCAGGCCTCGAAAAGGTTCATTTGTTACAGATAACAAGAGCTCTGTCATTTTAATTGAAACAATTTTCTGTCATTGTAACGACTGCCCCTTTTATCAACCATTCGAACAACAGGATGGGATTTGCAGTACTTGTGTTTGTATTCTATTCAAATAATTCCCTCTTATCGCCACTAAACACATGGATGTTGCGATTTATACGACATGCATCCTATTTTCTTAACAAATTGTTAAATATTTACTGTAACAACACTGGCGTATTCTTACCCATAAAAATGCTAAAAAAATTTCAACCAATCTTTTGACTTTTCTCTCAACACAAATAGACAAATATTTGTCAACAACTGTCTATGAGGCTCAACAACTTTTCAAATGCAGCTTTGGTTGCATATCATTACTATGCTTTATCCTGATAAACAACAAAACAGCCTTGATTTTGGAATATTCAAATGTCGGTTATAAGTCAATTCTAATTTGTAAGTCTGATGTTAAAGTTTCTTTCTATATCTTATTTCTTTGTAAAGCACACACTTTTTAAAAAAGTATTAAGTGCTAAGTTCTACAGTCGAGGTTATCATAATTCAGTTGGAGTTGTATTGATAATTTTCTATTCCAGGGAAGGCGTGTAAATTTATTCTGTGCGTATGCAGTAAACATACCTCACATTAACATGCTTCTTTGGCTTAGAGTAATAGTTGGGGTTAAATCTATCCCCTAGATTGCACCCTTAAATGTTGTCCCCTTCATCTGAACCCTTGGATCAGATCTGCTGGGCAAAACGCTATTTTATCAAAGTACTTATATAAGTCTTGATTTTATTATCCAGGCCATTTTTAAAACGTCCCTTCGTTCAACAGTGTAATGTGAAGATATCCCGCAAATGGGTATGCTCTTCTAGAATTTAGTAGAAATGGTTTTATAGAAATTCACACAAGCGAAAACTTTCTTACCATGACCTGATCTGTTGTCATGCTTGCTGAGCTGTAGCTGTAGTCAACAGGCATCGTCCATACCCTCCAAGCGTTGACGGTCATCAAAACGAATAATACTAATAATGACATCTTTGGCAAAAACGGTTCTCAAACCTGCCTGTGTTATATCTTCGTTCTCTAGATTTGAAAAGGCAAGGCTTAAATTCTTGACTTAACAATCGCCGAGTCTGCTACACTTTATATCTTTTTCTCTGCCGTACTGCAGGCGTCAAAGTCTCTTCTGACCAGAGGACGAATGCACTCTTGTTTTTAAAGACCCAATTAAGATCAACAATAGGCTTCCGGAAAACCAACTTTGCTATGTATCAATGACTTTTGCGTTAACTATCTGACCCCCCCGTAAAGTTGCGGTCACAATGTCAGTGAAGAATTGCCTTGGAATTCGCAATAAAATTTTCTTCTCGCTCATACCGCAGTACTAATCTGCATTTAAAACTGTATCCACGTTGCTATCGGCAATAACCTGAGTTTCTGAGGCTGCGTTTGCACACTGGAGACACGTCGCCTGCTGAGATTAGCTTCCCGAGATAAACCCACTCTCGGCTGGTGACTGGTGTTGCCTTCTGCATACATCCTCTTTTGCTTTCTCATTAACTAGGGAAGCAAGGCAGATCTTTGCCATAGAACTTAGAACCCAAATTGTCCACCAAAATTCCTACAAACCTGTTGTAAACATAAATTTACTTTGCATTGGACGATGCATTTTATTACTATTCATCCATAGAATCATGACAACATAAGATCTTGATAGAACACATCCATGAAGTCTACATTCATTTTTCTATTCCATTCACTAATCCATTCATTCTTTGACTTCTTGTCATTTCCCTACTATGTACGTAACAGGGATTAAATGCTTTATCTGTGGTATCAGGACACACTCATTCAACTACTGAATTGCATTTGATTTCACTCTCTTTTCTGATGTCATACTCTTCCATTGAGGTCTTTCGATCAATACATTAAATCAATGGAAAATATTTTTCATGTTAGGTTTTGTTACGCGTGAAAACAATGCCACTACCGTGGTCTTACGTGTTTCAAAGTTTGTTTTGTCAAAAAAAACATTTCGTATGTTCCAGCTTGTGGTTAGTTACAGAATTGCGTGATTACATTTCTAATTGTTATCATAAGTATGTCCATTATTCAAGATCTTGTCAATGAATGTCTTTTAAAGAAGAAAGATGGTTACAGAAAATATTGGTTTGGGTATGGACTCCTGTGACATTTGTGTAATGAAAAGTTGTTTTTCTATCTGTAAGGAAAGCTGGGATGGTAAAAAAGAAATCTCATTCATTATTGGTGGAAATCCCATTTTTAAACTGAAAATCTTTCAAATTCCTAGTGCTTGCGGAATCTCGTACGCCAACTACAAGAGGGAATTTTCCCTCGATGCAATCTATGACTATAAAATAAAGAGTCCCTTTCCACTCTTTGGAGTGGGAACAAGAAAGTCTGCACCAAAGGAGCAACATATGAATAGATTTCCCCCCTTGCTCTTGTGAAAGCAGAGGTAGAATCTAAGAGAATGTTTGTCCTTTGAAAACGTTTTTCAGAAGTAAACAATGGCCACATTTATAAAAGCAATGCAATAGCCAATCTTTTTGCAGTCTGAACAGTTCTTTGGGTGCAAGGCCAATTGCACCCAATTCACGAGATTGTTTCTTTTGTAAGTGTGTGGGGTGTGACTCCCCCTTGAAAAAATTCCATTGCAAAAACGAAGATTTTCTTTGCATGCATGAGAGCTTAGTGGGTAAATTTCCAGATCATCGGCAAATAAAGAATGGATCGCCCACTTTGTTGGCAAAAGGGGCCTTGGAAACCCCCCTTGTGCACAAAAGCTAGCGACGGGCCTGCCCTTACGCCATAGAAGCGGCAAGGGAGCCAAAAGTTTTCCATTTATAAAAGTGCCCCTTGATATTAGTCTTTGTTATTAACTGGGAAATCTGTATGGTTTTTTGACAGAGGGGGGTTTTCAACCAATTTTCCATTCGTTTAGATAAGGACTCTACTCAACAAGATTTTATGTAACAGAAATAAACCCATGATAAAGACTTATGTAAATGACATCAGATATGAAAGGCCTTTTAGGCGCTCAAGTGTCTGTAAAGATTGAAGGACATTGATCGCCTTTTCGAAATCTATGAGGCTAATTTTGCCGTGTGAGATAAAATTACTTGCCCTAAACTTGATGCTTGTCGCTTTTTCCTTTTTGTTAAGCAAGCACTCCGTAATGGGACTTTTGGTTCATCTCACGACAGTCTGAAGAATGTTTCATCGCGCGAAGCTTTCTCATAAGCAAGAAATATTTTTTGTTTCTCCTTCAAATGAGGTTACGCTGACGTAGTGATGACGCAATTGCTTGCATCAGACTCACAGTTAGCAAAATTGTCCGTGTCGGCTGAATGTAGGAGGCGGTTACCCTGTTGCCCCTGCACAACAGGGTTTGAAGAGAAACGCTGCAGATTCCCCCAATTCAAAGGCCATAGGCTTGTATAAGGCTATCATTATCATTATAGACTTTCGCTCCGCGTCATGAGGCTGCTTTCAAGCATGAACGAGTGATATTTTTAGACAGTGTAAATTAAAACCAATTAACTTGTCCTACCGGATATAATTTTAGCCAGTGAAAACGTTACATTATATTTTAAGTGTATTGATCACGTAGTTGACATTTTGTTAATTGCAGCTTGATTTGCCATTAAAAGCGAAGAGAGCCACAAGTTCCAAATGCCAGTACATAATAATTGCTATCTATCACCAACAACTCTTTCTATGCTTTACAAAAATCATCGATTTCATTACAAAGTTGTCATGTTCCAAAGTAGCCTTAAATGTGAACATTGGGTAAGTAAGGGCAAATCTTGCCTCTTTGTTGTTGTCTGAATGGTCAAACATCTGAACTTGCCACTCAACTTCAGAACTGCCTTTACCTTAGCACCCTGACAAAAAATCTCTCGGTAAATGCAATAAATAAAATTTGACATTGATTTGCACAAAAAACCAGTTTTTAAATGTCCTTCGCTTGATTTCATATATCACAAAGACTTTTGGCAGGAAATGCAACTCATTGTACCGAAAGTTGGGAAAGCCAAAATTTATAAGCTCGTAGTTGATCTTTTCCCTCCATTTTATACGTGAGTACTTGTTGGACTGTAACTGCAGGAGAATTTCATCAAGTTCAGAAACCTTAATCTCGGACCATTAAGCTTGGAATCTTTACTAAGTAGAAAGAGAATGGTGCTGCAAATTTAAGAAGACTTTGCTAGTTAAATGATTGTACTTTTGCAGCTCCAAATTCTAATAAATTTCTTATTTTCATCTTGAAGTTATCTGAACCCCATCGATCCCCTCATATCCCTATTAAGGTATCTCCGCCCTTGCAAATACAGGTTTAATTCATCTTAAATATGGAAAAGGGCCTGGTCACATTAATCATTACAAAATGGGACCAAAATTTTCCTAAATGCACAAACTCTTATCAACTTATCAACGAAAATCTCCAAGAAAGCATTGAAGGAATGGAGTGATACCAAATATAAAATGAAAGAAGAGAAACAAGTTTTCTGTAAGTGTCGTTTCGTATATAACGATAAGCTTTGAATAATTTCCCTTCGATTCTAATAAAACATTTCATTAATGTTAATGGAATCAATTAAAAGATTCTTCTGGTTTAGTATGCTGCTCTTTGGGGCTGAGCATCTGAGTTCAAGACCATCTAGTTTTCATTTTAAAAATCAATTTTCTACATCTACATCGCATTCAGTGGGACTGCCAAAATAGCACATCTTTGACTAGTTTTCGTTACTAGCCTTCTTCATCAATTGATTAATTTGCAATCAATGCATTCAAGGCGAGTTTGTTACAAATCTGACGATGGATTAGCAAATTCCATTAAAATAACAGTTCAATTCAATTCAACCAACAATTCACTTCTTATATTGACCAATCCCACAAAAACAGATATGACGTCCTATTTCATTCACTGAGTGCCAAACTTATTTTACATAGACTTGTCTTAAACATTTTTTGTCATGCATTTCTTGTCTCCCAATCTTTCTTCTACGTCACATAATGACATTGTCAAGTAAATGCACTTATTCCTCTTGAGTCTGAGGTCACTAAAAACACATTCATTGTCTGCATTCTGAATCGAAGGAAAATTCAAATCTTACCACTACTTCATTCAGATAAGAAGGGCATTACTTTCATATTAGCATCGGATAGCATGTGACAAGGAAGCGTTCCTGTTAAGGATCAAGAGAGTATTCGAAAAATGATCATAGATGCGTAGAGATTGAAAAGCACTTAGTGGAATATTATTTGGGCCAAATTGAAACATTATCTATCTGAAACTGAAACGTAATGTTTAATCATAATGCGAAAGAGCCCACCGATAGAGATGGCAGCAGTCTTTATTAAGGGAACAAAAGTCATGAACCATTTCTAGATGCTAAAAATATTTGTCATAATTTTTGCAGCAGCTCATTGAAAGAGAGGGAGGAGAGGTTCTTCACAGACTGACTTTAGACGCTAATTACCTGGAGGAGCCACAAATAACACTTTAATTGATTGATAAAATGACCCAGGATAAAGCAAGGATTTTTTGTAGATTTCGTTTCTGTTTGACCTCTGATTTACACTTCTAGCCTCTAATTCTTATGAATGATATGTCCTACAAGTGTATGATTTTAATTTCCAAATTCACGTAGCTTGCGTTTTGTTTTTTGCATCCAAGGAGGGAGGCAGGGAGCTGTAGGTGTCAATTGTCGAGATAAGGGGTATTCTTGAGGATGGACGGCTCATATAAAATAGCATAGACATGTGGCAACTAGGCTGGAATAAGCAAGTCACGACCTGTATGTTGTTGTATGTCCTGCTTTGACATGGTTTGTTAATTGAAAAGCAATTCTATCCTATCTAACAAAAACTGTGTGATAGAAGAAAAACATTTTTATTCGCCCTATGAACCACTAGGAGAAGCTAACATGTAATTGAACTCTTTTGTAGTTTACCATTTGTAGCCCCCCCCCCCCCCCAATAATTGTCAAGCTGTAGTATGTTTCCTTTGTAACAGTGTACTGGGAATACAATGGGAGGAGGGAATACAATGAGCAGCCTATCATGAATTGGTTGAACGCTTGAAAAGCTTCCTGCATTTTCGTAGCAATACCTTTTCAGCTGTTGCTAAGGATTCGGGTTAGCATATGATAATACATGTACAGAAAAAACAGAAACAAGGAAAGGATAGACATCTACTAGAGAGCAAAATATTGTGATGAAGTTGGGGCAAGGGGCATTTGCCCCAGTCTCTTGCTAAAAGAGGCTCTATTTTGAGACACTTAATTCAAATTCACTTAATTTCTGAATATCGAGGCGTAAAGCTGGCATTAGAAATAAACCCTTATGAAAAATATTTGAAACCTGGGGGAAGGGGCTCCACAAGGGTAGTTGGGCGAGAAAGTGAACTTTCACTTGGCTTTTCTCCTTCCCAAGATCAGAAATCATGTTCTTTCGTAATAGAGTAAAGAAGAGCCAAGAGCCGAAAAGATATTTTAGTTTTTTCAAAAACTTTAAAGAAGTTTTCGGCAAGACAAAAACGTTAGGCCACACCCTTTATACAACATAGATGGCCAAAATCAACTTTGCCTTTCGAGAAGATGCTGTTTTCGTGGTTGGGGAGGGGGTGAACGTCCACCCGTACCCCCCTTTCAAATGACGTCCCTGCACAGAATGACACCAGCAATAAAGTGGCAAAACATTTTCTCGACATGCCAACAATTCCTCGAATACCGGTATTCTGGTAGTCAAAACATTTCTTTGTAACTACTTTTCTAAGTGCCACAAATTCTTTTCTTCTTCAAAAATATGTGACACGTGCTTCTTCTCAAAACAAAAGCGTGTAAATGCCTTCTTTCTTTTTTCAATTAGATTTCCGCGAACGAGGCTGGACTACTTGAAAGCAAATTTATCAAGGGCGGGTCAAGAAAGTAGATGAAATTTTCAAGGAAAAATAATGTAATTATGCGGTGTTTGCAGCCGCCTATTTATAAGACAGTGACCTAGGATTACTAGGTAAGTTATGTTCTATTTTGCTTAGGTCTCGCAACCACAAGGCGCCTTTTCCCTAGTTAGGCCATCTTCTTGGGCACATAGACAAGTTCAAGTAGTGAGATAAAATCTTACCGCAACACTCTTCATTTAATCGTTTACAAACATGTATTTTCAGCAAACATTCAACTAGAGTTTTATGAAAGTGAATTTTAAGCCATAAGCTTAATTTTTAACATGCTCTTTAATTGTTAAGTTTAAAGAAAACTTTCCCGGAAAGAAAATATAGACATACCAAATCAGACCAAGTTAGTTGTCTCCATCAACAAAGTAATGTCTTGTGTCGTTTGGAAATTAGAGTTCAAAATATATTCATTTAGAATTATAAACATTAACCATTGATAAAGATAAATTTTTATTTCAAGCAGCAAAAGTTTTTATTATGCAAAATATTTTATAAAGACTTTTGTTTATTGCATTGCTAACAATAGGAAATGCTACCCTGCACCACACCATAAGTTTCAAGTTTCAAGTTTTCATTTTAAAATTCCAATATACAAATTCCAGCTAACAAAAAGTACAAAACTACATTAACAACAACAAATAATATCAAAGTATACAAAAAGAACTAAATTAATTTAAAGGAAGTTTGTAGGTTCTCTTTTCTTAAGTTCTTAAGTTCTCTTTGGCTTGGATGCATAGATTTAGGTTAATTATCAATACTTACTGCCTGAAAGATAAACTAGATTGAGCAACATTTTAGCTGAACATTTGAGGTATTTGCTTCAAAAAGCAAACATTAATTCCCATTTAAAAATTCCCTGACAGAGAATGAAACAGAGACACGTGACTGGCAACTTACTGCTGCCACCCTTGTTTACAAGCCACCCTCAATTATAAGGTGTTAGTACAACAGTTTGAGTGAGAGTATGATCAATTTACACATATAGACAGGTCCTATTACATTAATATAAGTCAAAGACTTTATCAGTCTCAATATTTTTATCCCCCTAAATTTTTTTCATTATGTTATTATTTTTGCTATTAGTGTAAGTAATCTTGGGAATACTGCAAGCTCTCATCATTGCCTGTTAGGAACTTCATCTTTCTTACCAAATATTGCTACAATTAATTATGCTACATTTTTTCAAAATCATGTTTGATATATTTATTTTATAGGCTATTTGGGCAACTTGATTTATTCTTGGGCAGTTATTTTAGCTTTATCAGCAATAAACTGTAAATACTCATTAAAGTTTGCTGTTTTTTGAGGTACCTGTTTGAGGGTGGGCTCAATTACGGGTGGGCAAGGCAGTAGTTGGTAATGTGGGACACCTTTTACTAAAGTAATATATGAGATTGGTCCTCCAGCAGTTAATGGACTCCAACAGTGCTCAAGATTACCTTCTGGACCAAGAAAATACAAACAAATTTTTTCATATGCAAAATATGTTTTTGTATATTTTGTCATGATTGATTGATTAATTTATCACTAGAACATTGAAGACAATATTTAACAATATTTTCAGATCCTTTTTAACAAAGTTTTGATTACAGTTTGATACTATAATGATGGTAGTGTCATAATTTCTGTTTTTTGTCACATTCAATGTCATCCCTTATATGGCAATTTTCTGAATATCATGGGCAAAACAGAGGTTATTTAAGTCACTTTTGATTTAGAACCACTCTTTAAACTTTCTCAAATGAAAGATCTTATGTAAATCTTTCAAAATGCATGAATTTGAAATTCAGTTTCAACTGTCTTTGCTATTTTTCAGTGTCTCGAAACTCAAGGAAATTCCTGAAATTGTTGAAAGTACCCTCTAAAATATGGCCTAATACAGGGTTTTTGATACAAAAGGAAGCTTTATTTTTAGTATTTTCTAAATACCAACACATCCTGCTAAATGATTTCAAGAAAAGTTGAAGAGATGGTCTCTTAAAGAGATGGTCTCATTCATGCCCTGTTGATAGCCTCAAGTTCAAGGACCCCCCAATGAAAAGTTCAAGTACACCCCCCCCCTAAAACAGTGTTTTTATCATTAAGACCAAGCTAAATCTTCAAAAATAGTAAATTTTATTAGAAAGGTATGCCAGAAATGTCTTGTTTATATATTTATAGTTTCAAATTGATATCATTTAGCACTGTTAAGTTATTGAATGTCAAAGTTGGCAAAATTATGTTCGAAGCTCAAAATGTGAAATTTTGGCTGATTTCACAAAATTTCATAGCTTGATAACTTTTGAACTGTTTGAGCAATGAAGCTGAAATTTTCGGCATTGTATTTTTTCTAGGAAAGATTCATATGATAGAAGTTTCAACAGAATCTGAGATGGTGCCCATCGGCACTTCCAGAATTTTTGGTGATTCATTATGGAATGACCCTTTCCCAATAAATGTCTTTATTAGCTAAAAAAACATGTATTTTTGAATGAAGACAAGACAGTACTAAGCTCTGTCCGAAAAGCCACAATTCTAATTGATAAAGACATAATCAATCAATTATTCATTGTTATCTCACAAGGACAATATTGAACTTGAAACCTGCCTTGTCTTTCAGAGAAAAGGACTATTTTGTAGGACTAAATTTTCAGAAACCTTTAAATATAATCAACATTGAGTGATTTTATCAAATTAATGTATATCAGCAGTTGTGTTATAGAATAAAATAAAGTTAATACTATTGAATGCATGTGATGTTTAAAGATTTTACCACAAGGTAATGTTTATCTGTTGAGAATAGCATTTTTAATTGATCTGTCGTTATCAAATGTTTTCATGATTGCAACACATGCACCAACTTAATTGCTTACATGACTACTACTTTTGGGAAGACTGCTTAGTTTATCTCACAGTTAACATTCCTAATTTTTTTCAGCATCAAGTTGTTCATTCTGCATCCTTTAAAATTTTGCTGACATTGAGTGGCATCTGATTGTGTCAAGGAGCCACTGAACTCCTTAATCAACCATGGGCTGCTGCTCATCAACAGAAAAGCGTTATATCCAATACAAGGTGAGGTCAGGTAACCTTTTTGCTGTTCATTGTTCGGATCCAAAGTATTTCCTGTGTCTCAAAACATATAAATTTCAAAGCTCATTACATTTTGTTATTATGCAAGCTGACGTTCGTGAAATTCTCAAAACATAAATATAAAATTTTACCAATCTGTTTATTTGAATACTTGTGTTTTAAAAGAGTTAACATATTTGTAAATAGAGTCTAAAATATAAAAATTTAGATATATGTATAATCTTTTCAGTACTGTCCATTAACCAAGCCTCAGAAAGCCATTAAACAGCATTACAATGTTGTTGTCATTGGATCAGGATATGGTGGAGCTGTTGCTGCTTGCCGTGCAGCTAGGGCAGGCCAATCAGTATGCGTGCTTGAAAAAGGAATGGAGTGGCTTCCTGGTGACTTTCCAGAGGCAATGGAAGATAGTTTTCGAGCAACATATGTAGATGGAGAGCTAGCCCAGAAAACCTTTGGTAAATAACTACAGTCATTTACAAGATTTGTTACCCTGTAGAAAAAGATATTCTCCACATATGTTTGTGGTTCTTCATTGTCAATTTTGTTTTTGTTCCAATACAATTTTTCATCAAATTTAAACCAGGGATTGGGTAGAGATAGAGAGAGGTGGTCGAAAAATGGCCTTCATTCAGCATCCTAGAAAACTTTAAATTTTAAACGTCACGTCCTTTCTCGCCCATTTTGGACCAAACGTTGGGGATCCGGTAAACATCTTATGCCCCAAAAGTTCCATTTCGATACCTGTCACAGTTCCAGAGATATTCACGAAAACCAATGCGTTTAGACTTAGTAACACAAATAAATTTATGTTCCGAATATCTTTGGGGCATAAGATTTTTGCTGGATCTGTAACTTTTGATCCAAAAATGGCGTGAAAGGGCGTGGCACCTACGTAATAAATCCATACATTTAGGCCGTTGATGACTATTAAGTCCGCAATTTAGGATTTAGAGGCCATCTTTGGTTAGTAGACAAATACTACCAAGCTCTTTAAGGAATTTCTATAAACACCCACAATCCTGGCAAAAAATGCTGAGACACTCGTAGAATCAGCTGGTTTAAAATAATCCAGCCCCCACCCCCCAAATCAATGTTGTTATGAGAGTTGTTTAGCCTGCGTTCATCCCCAGCTAGTCTGCAATCATAAAACCCAACATTGACATCGAGGGAAGAGGGTGTGGGCTTGTTATATAAAGAAATAACATTTGACTTCACTTTTCGTTAAAAGTCTAAGCTATTATTTGCCAAGGGTGTATTTACAATTAGTATGTTCTTTGCATGGGGTGGAGATAAAGGAGGGCTGGGTCATTGTGTTATGCAATTTTTCTCTTGCCTTTTTACATTTTTTGCACACTTAAGGAGACGTTTTCTAGGGTGAGCCAACATAAATATTACCATTCTAAATGCAAACCGCGAGCTCTCTCAAGTGCACGGACGAAAATGTTGACGAGCAAAGTCCAATTTTTAGAGGAAAATGAACAATTGTTTTATCACCCACGGCTTAGTAGGGGGATGCAAGGGTTAAATGTTTGACCGGGCGCCAGGACTATGAGACGTGCAGGAGAGCGCCAGACGACATGGTTTTCCGGCAATATTTCTGCTGCCAACGTGCTAAATGATAGCCAATTTCCTACACCATTTCCTTTGGCCAAAGCTGTGACGATTATAGACACATTGAGCAGTATAATATTTCGCAAGCTCATTCCCACCTGTCACTACCGCTTGCGTTTGCAAGTATGAAATACAAGGATTAGTCCAAGGACTTCTTATGACCACTAATTAAAAATATTGGTTTGCATATCGTTGGATGTGGAAACAGAATCTCTGTTCAACTCCTTGCTTCCATTATGCACAAGCAAGACTTTACATTTCAGAAGTGATCAATGTGCGTCCCGAGATCGTTGCCCTGATTTCTAGTTTAAAGACTAGTAATTCTTCAAACATACCCCCCCCCCAATCTTCCTATTTAGCCAATTCAGTTTCTCACGCGAGGAACTTGAACAAGGATAGAACTGCTGATTAAAGACACTTTAGTGTTACAGACTGAACTGCCACACCTTACAGCAAAACAGTTATATTTTTCTTGTAATAAATTCTAATTTATGATATATTTATATTATCTTTGCTGAGATCGCATTACAGGTTACAAATATTTCAACAGTCGACTCGTCATTTCGCTTTCAACAGACCAATAGTTACTTAAAATTCCCAAAATTGCAGTCGACTATTAGCAACCCCATAGTTTTAGTATCTCCACTACGATATAGTTTTAGAATCTTAGAATCTTCATGGGGCATATGCCCTTCCTACCTTTCGGAAACAGTGGTAAAGTTTCTACTTGCAGCTTACAGAGGTGCTCCCCAACTGTTGAAATGCTTACTACGTCTATGGGTCGATCGGTGCATTCAAAACTACGTCATCCTCCCACTTACAGTGGTAGGGCTTCAAACAGCATCTAATGTTTCTACAAAAAGGATCAGCTGGGGGCCGTTGCAAGCCAGGGATGGGGTGGGGTGGGGTACTGCACCCGCCAGATAATTCCCATTATGTGGCATCATTCTTTTTTCACAAAATACTTAAAGAGGAGCAACAAATAAAACCCATTTCGTTCACCCTCACCCCCACCCCTTATATCAGCATTGCCCCATTCCAATTTTTCGATGGCGTTTACCAGTATGGTGTTGTAGTTCTCGTGTTAGAGTCTATTTCTCTTTTACTTTAGATGTTTATTGGTTCTTTTCTCGTTTTTTAAGGGCATCCAAGCAATCTGTTCCAATTTAAAGCGTGCAAAAACCTAACTGTGATGACAGGCTGTGGAGTTGGAGGGTCCTCTCTAATTGACGAGGGGGTTGCACTCGATTGTAAAGCAGCTGTCTTTTACGACCCGGTTTGGCCAGATGCATTCAGAGAAGACTTAGACAATTTCAAAAAGTATGACCGGGCGTATTCTGAGCAGATGCTGAGGCCTAGACCTTACCCAGACGATTATCCGGTTATGAAAAGGATAAACCAGTTGCGCGAGATTGGAACTAGACTCGAGGTTGTCGATATTGAAGACATGAACAAATCGTTTTTTAGGACGCCAATGTTTATCAATTTTGAAGATGCTCCTTCAAACCACGTGGGTATGCCACAACCTGCTTGCAACGGATGCGGAAATTGCCTGTCTGGTTGCAATACCGGAGCCAAAAATAACGTGGCTATGAATTATTTGCCAGATGCAGTGCAGCGTGGCGCAGAAATCTTTACTCAGGTAGAAATCGAAACTATCTCTTCATTCCGTTTCGTTGCACAGTTTATTCTTTAAAAGTTTCAGAAAAATCTGCCCATTATCCTACCAGATCATAGACTTTCACCGTTGTTCCTGCATTGCTTCTACAATTTCCCTTCCCAAATACTCTATGTCCAAGAAATTTTAAATCGTGCGTCCAAAATCACTTATAAGCTATTCTGAAATTTCATCTCATAATGCATTGATGACAGTATTTCGAGAGACGTCGTAGCTAAAAACGGAAATTTTCACGATTCGCCTTTCATTGACATAGTCACGAAAAATACGATTGTTATATAAGAGCCGACCGAACGTTTTTTTGATGAACGATCCACTTATGCTACCCCTTTAACAGATCCATTAACAACAACCCAGAAGGCAAAAAGGTCCATTGAACGCATGTTTTTATATAGAACAAGGCGAAGCACTTTGTGGACTCTGATGACTGACATGATTCAGGCACTTATCATGTGGTTAAATAGATCTGACAGAGTCAAGGCAGTTTCCATATTTCCATCTGACAATTTCCTCAGCCATTCAAAACCTTTCTAGGCAAACAAACTAGGTGGGGTTTGGGCGTCTTCCTTTATTTTCTTTTGCTTCCATTGCCCTTCCTCGTGACCTCATGACCCTCAACTGCAAGACCGCTACATTTTCAGGTCTTTGAAATCCAATGTACAAAATCTTCCTTTTTCAGGACAAGTGATATTTTTGCTTCATAAACTCTATTGTTATTTCCCCATTATTGTTCTGTTCTCTGTAGATCGAAGTTACAGCTGTCTTGAAAGATTACGAGTCTTACCAATGGCAAATATTCTACAGAAGTTTAGATGGGAGTGGTGCAAAAGAAGAGAGGTCCATCAGAGCCAATATAGTCATTATCAGTGCAGGATCTCTCGGATCGACCAAAATTTTGTTGGAATCTTCACTACGTGGATTGGAGGTTTCGAGTGAAGTTGGCAAAAACTTCTATACAAACGGAGGGATTTTCGGTAGGTTCCCAGATTTACTGCAATTCATGATTGCAATTACATGCATAGGAGAAGTCAATTTTGTTCAGGGGTGCTAAACTTTGGAGCTATGGCCTAGATACCAAAGATGAGTAGGCAACCTCTCTGATTAGATTTAAAACTTTGCTCTAAAATTAGCAATTGTAGGGATTTTGCATATGAAATTTTTCATAGAATATAAGAAAATAGGAAAGAAAACATTGTAAAAAGGTATCCAAAATTGCATTGGTAGGGTGAAGTAGATTCAGAAGGGGTTCGGTAGTGTATTTTATTATTTTAGACCTATTGTAACTATTTATTTTATTATATTTTATGTTATTTTTTCTATTATTTTTGGGTGAAGGGGGCTCCTTGTAAACCAGCATTGCTGGATAGACTACCGTGCTTGAATAAATAAAAAATGAAATTTCTTGCTCAATTTTTTTTAATTCTATGTAAAACTAATATATACAGAATAGCAATTCAGTTAATTCACTGCTTACAGTTGACCCTGTTTCAAGAATGTTGAATAAGTTGAATAAGGCTAAAAGACGAAAATCCTGCCCCTTGAAGGACTTAAACTTACATGTAAAAGGCAGATTAATCGGCATTACTTTATATTTCTTTTAAAGCCTTTCAATCTTACATGGAAAGAAAAGTTAATTTTAAACTTGTCATATTCTTGACTTTTTCTGTCCTTTGTTACTTTTGTGAGTTTTCTCTTTGCTTCCGGCAAATCTCAAGCAATGTCAACTAATTTTGTAGATTTTGTAGAAATAAGTAATTTGGTGATCATTGACAAACTTTCTCTTTCCTTAACCTATTAAGTTGCTATAAAGAGATTTACCTAGACGAATATCTTTTGATAAACCTTGCATAAGATGAAAAGTATTTCTGCCAAGTATTTTTCGCCAATCCTTGAATTTTTCGTCATCTTATGTTGTGCTCTATTCATACAAATTGTAACTAAAAACGCCTTCGACATGCAACATCGAGCAATTATCTACATTCGCCATTCTTTCTATGCTTTGTTTAATCATGTAGTAAAAATACTTAACTGTTAACTGTTTTAAATCCTTATTTTCTTTATATATGAAATCTTTATTTAGGCTTTAGATTGATATAAGCTACTATTCATTTCTTTCGTTCATTTTTATCAAATAAATATATATATAAATTATGCGTTGATACTTTGGTTGGAGTTATCGTTATCATTCTAGTAAGAAATTTTCATTTCATCGGTATTCCTTGTTAAGGCCGGTTTCCACTTGATTCGGTCTAGTCGCGTGACTTGGCGAAATAACACAGCGAATACAGCGAACGCGACCAGTCGCCCAGTAGTTCAACCGAGTTGAACTCATAGAGATATGGTTGAACTACTCAGCGAATGGTCGCGCATTTGCAGCAAATGAGGAAGTTCAATTTGCGCAGGCCCAAAAGGCCGATTTCCATTTGAAATTTTTTGTGCGCACTGGCGTAGCGTCCAAATCTGAGCATGCGTAGCTTAGTGCTGCTGTCCAGTGGCCGAGCGCACAAAAAAGATGAGATCCCATCAACTTTCTGGCGCTCACAGCAGACGCAAAATCGAGACCAAAACGCGCGCACAAAAAACGTCAAATGGAAATCGGCCTTTTAAGTGGAAACCCGCCTTTAGAGTGAACACTTAAAACTAAGCTCATAGCTAAAACGCAGTGAGATCAATAAAAATTTCAATTGCTAAATTGAAAAGACTTACACATAAACAGAAGGAAGAATCCTTGCAATCGAAAAGCCATTTTTTATGATCTTTTTTCTGTTATTTTGATAGGATTTCAGTCACTTGTTCTCTTCTCTAAATGTATTCTTCTTAAACCATTCTGAGCGCCTCCTTTCTATCCTCTTATACAGGTGTCAGTTATAATGGGAAAGAGGCTTCACATGCAGTTGGATTGCACACTGGTATGTTCAAAGGAAAACCCAAGGCCAAGTACGGGCCTGCTCCTGGTCCAACAGCGACTGCTTTGCTTGATCTTCGAAAGAAGCGCGATGGCTTTGTGATGCATGACGTAACAGTTCCAAGATCCTTTGCTGCTCCGTACGTCGTTGCATCTGCAATTTCTTCAGGCCAAATAAATCCACCAAATTTTCCCAGTGGGCCACAGTGGAATGGCCTACTACAGGTGAGACTGCCTAAATTTACTTGAGCGGAAGCTGATTTATTTTGATGTACCAAACATCCGATGTCTTCGGAGGAATGAAGCATTATATTCCTGTTTTTCTGCAACAAAAAGCGAATATCTAGCATGTTACGTACCCATTATTAACGCTATGCAACAAAAGTTGCATGTTTGGCGACAAAAATCGTTTTTCAACGCTAAGCGTTACCTATGCCAACTTTTCGATGCTACAATTTTGCCAATCTCAAGAGACTTTTTTTAGCGCTGAAATTATTAAAATGACGTGAAGTTGAGTTAAACTCTACAAAGCAACTCCTTTAAGTTAATTAATCTCTGAATAGGTAAAAACTAATTGAGAGTATTAATGCAAGTTGCTATTTACCAGTCTATCATAAAGTGCGCAATGCCGTATATGCAGAGCTGTGCACATTGTTTGGTATAAAGAACAGGGGTTTCTCTCCTGTTCAACCATCCTGTTCTATACACCAAATAGCGTGATTGAGAGTATTGCATAATTGAAGTATAATCTTGTAGTTAGACCTCTCTCGGAAGGTTGTCTCGTGATACGTAATGTTGCTTAACCTGGAGTGGACGTGAGGTGATCGACTTTGACGAAGAAGAGGACATCTGTAGAAATAGCAATCTAGAAAGAAAATAATTAACAGTTTATCTACAGTTGATCGCAAAAGCAACGAATCCAACCCTAGCAACAGCTATTGGACCACACTAATTTCCAAACTACATAATTTACTAATTTAGTATTCCTGTTTGTTATCCACGGTTTTCATTAGAAAGTGTTTTCAAACAGCAAAAAGCATAACTCTATATTCAGCTGCCTGATGAAAGCTTTAAGCGCGAAACACGGAGCAGCAACTTATAACCGTCCTGTTCTATACACCAAAAGCGTGTAACTATTTATTCAAATATCCAGGCCAAGTACCCTAGGAAATACAGTCGATTTCGCACAGAAAATACTATAACGGCTTGGAAAGAAGCAAACATTTTACAACATATTGGCTAAAAGCTTTTTCGTTCAATGCTCCTATGAGTATAAAGCGCCAGAATAAGTTTCTGAAAGAACAAGATAAAATTATATATCAAAGAACTTGTTCAGAAAATGCTAGGGAAGTCATTTTCATGTCTATAGTATTTTATTTGTGAAATTATGCCATTTTGTTTCGCAGAGACTAGGACAAGCAGCATTGGCCAATACCTTAGGTTTGTACTGCATGACGAACAGTGACTCACCGGGAGAACTCTTCATAGACGAAAACACGAAACAAGTTTCTATAGACTGGGACCCAAATAAGCACAAAAAGTACTATCACACAGTAGAAAAAGCATTGAGACAGGCAGTGGAAATTTTAGGAGGCCATTGTTCGGTAGATCCACTATGGTCCAGCCAGTTTGGGCCCGGACATTTGAGCAGGCATCCGATAGGTGGTTGCTGTATGGGAAACACTGGACTAAACGGAGTCGTGAACGACAAAGGACAGGTTTTCATTGGTAAGATTGGCTGTAATTTTTACTGTTCACCAGGCAGTAGGGCTTGGGTTGTACTTTATGTATATACATTTTATAGCTCACTCCAAGTACTATGCAAAAAAGGATTATGGTAAATTAGTAGACAGGTAAGCTTGTTCTTTTCGATTTTTGAAAATGAGCATTGTCTAGCTAAGTTGAAAAGATGCAAATTCTGCACATTTCCAGCTAAACTTAAGATAAATGCCGAGGAAGGTTTGGGTGACTCCCCCTGTGAATACCGAATTGGGATCAATTACTTTTTACTATTGTTTTTATGATTTTGGGCCCAAAATAGAAATAATAAATATAGATTTTGTATCCAAGGAAAGTGCTAGAACTTTGAAAATCCCCTTTCTATCTAGAGTTCGTGTTCTCTCTTTGCCCTTCCGCTGATTGGTCAAAAACAAAAAACCAGTAAATTGTGATGTTTTCGCTCTCACGTTACTCTGAAGTTCATACGCTGAGGAATGTCGAACGAAAAATGTTTATTCCTTTCTGTTGTCAGTTTTCCCTGCTATTTTCAAATTCAGTTATGCTAAAAGCTTATTTAATTTTAGATTAGTTAAAAGATTTTTAAATAATCTAGCATTTTAAGCAATCTAGCATGTGGTAGTTGGAATAAGGAGGGTTTGTAAAAGAAAAGAGACTTTTTTGGCTGTTTTTCCCCAGAATCTTTTCTCTTTATTTTTTCTCTTTATTTTTTCTCTTTATTTTTAGCAACGCCTTGATAAACTTTCTGTTACCTCCATTTCCATTTCTCACAACTTTTCAATGGTATGTTTTATTTCGATGGTGATTTGTTTGTATCAAAGACACCCAAACAATGCTTATTTGAAACGATCTTGGTTTCAGTGAAAAGTCATCAGAGTAGAAAACTGACCATAAATGCTTTATTTCCCAGTAAATTTCTAGCTCAGGCTAGTTCACGTCAAAAGTTAAGAGATATATGACTTTTGACAATTAATCAAAAATTCTTCCACAGATGGTAAACTATAACAATGTTATTTCTCAAATATCTAGCACATTATAGAAACTATATTTCCAATTTAGATTCACTTTTTCGTCACTATATAAAGAAGAAAAAACAAATTTGCATTTTATCGTTATAATAATTTTATGGTAATTCTACTGAATGCGGAAGGTTTGGTTGATTTATATCTTGATGTTATGCATTGTTTTACGATATATTAAGATTAAAGAGCAAGAGTTGTTGAATTCAATCTATTAATGATGGAATAATTGGATTGCCAAACACAGTATAATTAAGTGTCTTTATGGTGTTTAATGACTGCATGATAACTTGACATGATATGATTGTATTAAAAAATCTTATTTCAGGCGATTCGGATGATACTTACGATGGACTGTATATAGTTGACGGGTCGATTATCCCTTGCGTTCTTGGTGTGAACCCAGCATTTACAATCACTTGTATTGCCGAACGCTGCATGCGATTACTTGCTCAAGATGAAAGCTGGACAACAGATTATACCCTTCAACCGGTAAGTATCTCAAACAGCTAAAATTTAATTTGATCTTATTTTTACATCTTTGTAATTGAATTTTACTTTTCTTAAAGAATTTCAAGCTTTTGTACCCATTTGAAATCTCGCTGTTGCATTATTTTATTTGTCTTTATATCTGTCTTTATGTCTCATTGTATCTGTCATTTGATATTTGTTAAGTATAGCCATCATAGACAATAATCATAGTGATTCTTACCGAAGTGATAGCAATATCCTTTGCTGCAAATTCAAATAAAAAATGCGAGTTGTCACTCTACTGTTAAAGTGTGAGTCTGATAGTTGAGTTGTTATAAACACCTTTATAGTCTGGAACTGTCTTGATTGCTCGAGTAGACAGTATAGACTGCCCAAATAGAACAAATGATATACTCTCTAGATTTGTTGAGTTCGCTTCTCATTGGGTATTCTTTTAAACGGCTCGTAACTTTTCGAAACGAAGATTAGACTGGATTTGTGTGAATGAAAAATCGACTTTTTAATTAAGATTTTGCCTCCTATTTTTTATGCTTCATTGATACTAAACTGGTTGGAAGCAAATTTTTTTGCCCTTTATTTCATTCACTTGTCTAGCAAGGATTAAATAGTCCATTGGTCCCGTGACCTCATATTTGGTTTCTTATATTTTCTTTACTCTTCTTTCCTTTTCCTCCACTGAAGCCACCCAGCCAAGCCAGGTTCTTTACTCGTTATCAAACTCATACCTCATTTTTCGCTCAATTTCAGCAAGGGCAGCGAAGACCTGATCGCACAGACACATCCGTTTAACACCATATCCATCAGCAGATGACGTCGAAGTTTGATAAGGAGCCTGAATGAAGGTAGAGAAATACGCACATCAATCACTAAATATGTACTCTATTCAATACATTTTGTTGCTTTACATAGAAATATTTTCATAGTATATAACAATTCATTAGAAAAGGTAATCTGTAAGCTGGTAATGTTAAAAAGAAAAGCTAATTATGAAGATAATAAACTTGTCGCAGGGTTATGGTTATGAATGCTTTACAATTTTCCAGGCATCCACATGGTACTGGACTTTGCTTTAATTTAAATTGAGTAATATTAAGTCATATGCTCCTTTTGACAAACCCTACGTCCGTGTCGAAGATCAGGTTTTCCTATTGATACAGACCTCTTCTATGCCTCTGTATTGTTGCTAGCATTTAATGTAGCTAAGGTCGATGTCCTTGTTTACCTTTCAGACTAGCTTTAGACTTAGCAGTTCTGTTCATGGTTGATAAGACGTGATGTAGGTTGATAAATAGTCCATTGTGTATTATTCGTTGTTTTATAGACCTGAGTGTACCTGGGTAATGCGTGGGTTTAGAAGCCAGATATATTTTTAGGATTTCTTTGAAGTGTTTTTTTCAAAGACCATATGGTTAATCTTTAAGGCATATATGCCCGTGGGATATGAAATTTGGATGAATCTACTGCATCCAACCCACGTCTACTGAGAAGAGACATATTGTCAATAAGAGATTGAATGTACAAGATCTGCAATTATAAAGCATGCAAAATTTGATGCTCTGGTGTCCTGTTAACGAAAAGCTTTTAATTTTCAAGGTGCAAATTGTTTTTGCATTTTATTAAAGTTATACTAAAATTCTGAATTTACATTTATAATTCATGCCAGAAAAGTACAAATAATTTAACATGCATGTGGATACCACTGTCTATATTGTATATTTTGTCAGGTACACCGTCTCATGCCATCGGTCAAAACCTGTCAATCTGTCCCTTACCTCTTGACTACTTTCATTTCCTGGAAATTCATTAAGTAAAACAACTAAATCAGAAACATAAATCATTTTCACTACTACTAAGGCCCTGAAAACTACCAAATTATCTTTGTGATGACATATAACATTCAATAATTAGAGCGTCAGATTGAATTTTTTCTTGTCTTATGTAGTAATTTATGCTACTTTGGTATTATTGCCTTATATATTATAAGCATTTTACTTTGAAATTGTGTTTTGAATTGCTTGAAGTACAATAAATGTATTCTTTCGATAAATAGGTATCATTGAATTATTACCAATATTTTATGAAACGTTGTACAATTTGTTTTTTGTATTCAATATTAAATCTTGTAGGAAAAGTGTTTTTTTGCTAAACTGTTTCCTTGGTGCGCTTTCTTCAGGCTTTATAAAAGTCTTTGGTATGAAAATGTGCTTGACACATGCAGCCCTCTTTCCATTGGTTTTCAACAGCAAGATCCTTATTGAAAAAGGCATTGTTTTTGCCCACTGTGGCGGTCGGCGTTTTAAAGGTGTCGTCTTGAACTTATGACAGCAGAAGACGCTTCATTTGATTTTTGTATTGAAATAGCTATAGTAAACAAACAGTGGTTCCTCGCCTACAAGTACTAAACCAAATAATCTCTTAATTGTAATCTCATACTTTTTTTGATGATGAAGTATAAGACCCTTGTTATTGGTAACTTTGGAATAGGAAGCCAACAATCTCAACAATGACCAAGGCATGACACAGGGGTTCTCATGCACAAATTTTCCATAAATGGTCACAAGAAAGTTCAGGCCCAAATGTAACAAAATTTAAAAACCCTTGCTCGAACATTCTGAGAATAATTGAAATTTTAGATTTAAGGTTTTTCTAAAGATTCATGAAGTAATTCACTAGAAACCTTCATCACCTTGAAAAAACAAGGAATGAACACGAGAAAGAGATGTTACATAACATTATATCAAAACATAACGAATTTTTTACTGGTCGTCAAGCAGTAGGGAAAGTCAGAGCTAGTTTAATACATCACTTTTTGACTGAGATCCTTAAAAGGTAACATTGGAGCCTCAAGTCAAGATATGGATGTCGAAAATGGTTTTGCTCTGTGATGGGCAAATTGTTGCCTTTCTCTTGAAGTCTTTGAAGGAAGATTATGCAACACATTCCAGGCAAGAATGAAAAAAATAAAGTAGAGTGTATTAATAATGAATAATTAAATATATGATTAAATGAATTAATTTTCCCATAAGCCGCCAGTGGTTGAGGTACCAGAAGCTGTTGCTTCATTTATTCACTTGTTTATGCCGTTTGTACCAGTTTTCATTTTCTTTAGAAAAAGGGGTAAAAATCATTTTTGAGTTTTTCACGAGAAACGCGAAAGAGGTTATGCGCACATGGTCAGAGAAAAAGATGGCTGCCAGCGATAATCAAGGTCGTTTTGTTGATAAAAATGTTTATTGTAAAATTACGCCTCAAAAGGGAAAAGGATTGTATGCAAAAGATAAAATCAAAGAAGGTGAACATATTTTGATGGAAAGGCCTTTGATATGTTGTCAATTTTCGTGGAATTCTTTTTACAAATATGTTGCCTGTAATCACTGCCTCAAATCACTCGAAACTGCAGAGGAGATGGCGAGAAGACTCAGTGGAAATTTTGATGTACAACTATCATATAAAGATTGTTGCGGGATAGAAAAAGCCAGATGCTCCCATACAAAGTGTCCAGCATGCTCAGTACGTTTCTTTGAGGTTTCAAATAAAGAAATCTTATATAATGATGCAAGTTGTTTTGAAGTGGAAATGCTTAGGCAAATTTTATCATTAATTGTATAAATTTTTGTTTCATTTTTGCATTAGGAACAATTAAAGACATTTATATAAACATATATTATTCTAAGATTTGTTTCAAACATAAATCAAAACTTGTACGTGCAATAATTTAACAAACTCTGAAACCTCCAACAGAGTTTATCGATTTAATTTCTGAAGGTTGTTAGAAATGTGTGCTAGTTAAAACAGTAACACAAAGATAACAAAATCTCATTTTTATTTTTATTTCATTTGAGTGCTCTGTTCTATTTCTATGGCGTTCCTTTTAATCTGCAATTTTGCATCAAACTCTCTTTTAGGCAAACTATTGTTCAGAAGAGTGTAGACAAGAAGCATATGACCAGTATCATGAAATTTTGTGTCTAGGAGCTGCAAAAGAAGATTCTGAACATCCATTCAACCAAATTGATGAAATATGGAGGTAAAGTGGTGCTATGAGACAAACACTGATAACATATAACAGAAGCTTTATGAGATTTTTTGAGATTCAAAGACACTATTATACTACATTTGTATGAAACTAGAAAAGTAAGGATATCAAAGCAACATAAAAGTTTGAGCATTGAAGTAAGATGGATATATGAATTTTGACAGTGCTATAAGTTTTAGTATAGAAGCAGCCCTCATTAGAAGCCACATAAGAAATAAGATCTTAGAAAAGGTTGTGCATCTCCTAAAGTCCTTAAGCGGGTACTGTTAGGAAAAAAAACACTTTCCTAAGATACAAATGTAGAAGCTGTTCTAAATGCGAAGGCTTAGTCTAATGTGACTGTAGCTATATATTACAACTTGAGCACAGCAATAGTTCTGATGGTTTGTTTTAAAAATGGACAATGTGTGCCTCCAAAAGCAATAGAAGCTGCCTTCAGATGGGAGCCACAAAAATATTATTTTGGCAAAAGCAGAGGCCATGGCTTCTGTTCAAGAGAAAAAGTATGCAATGCCTCTTTCCAAACAGATCAAATCAATTACACAACTCAGATGTTCTTGTTTTTTCATTACTATATTTCATTTCATTTCTTTACCTTGACTGATTGATATTTTTTGCAAATTTTATTTATGTCATAGCAAACTGTTTTGGCACAGTAATTTAAGGCCCTTCATCTCATACAGCACCAGAGTTTCTAGCAAGATGTGGGCTAAGAGCACTTTCCAGTCTGGGCTAAGAGCATTTTAGCTCTTATTTCTGCAATAAAAAAGAAAGGAAATAATCAGAAATGATGCACTAATTATTATAGGCCTTCGTAACCATATTGATTTGTAATTTTTTCTAGAAATATGCATTACCCACCAGAGACAACAACCATTTGGTTGATTTGCAGGATGATTGCCACTGTGGTAAAGGTAGTTATAAAATTTGAATTGTTGACTTATATTTTTATGTTTTGACTTTGATTATTTTTATGTTGAGATTTATTTGCAGTTATGTCTACCAAGGGCTGCCTTCCCTCGTTTAGATTTACGTTATGTACAGAAACAGCCAAAAATAAGTAAAGCTATGTCAATTCAAAATGGTGAAAAAAATTATCAGCAGTGTCAAAGTCATGAGGCACCCTCTGAACATTTGATTCAACTGCTTCAACCCTTTTCTTCATTTGAGTAATTGTCCAACACTCACTGTCATACATAAGCATGGATTTTAAACAGTGGTGTAGTGCCATCAAAATATCAACTGGCTGGGGCTCTTGCACAAAATGTTGCAAAAACAATAGCAAAAGTAGAAATTTGCAAACAATTTTTTGGTGGTACAAAACTTGAAAATGGCTTTGAAAAAAGCAAACATTTAAGTAAACTAAAGCCTTTCGTCTGACACTCTTCAGAGTTTAAAATGTCAGAACATAGATCAAAACTGTACGCTATGAAATATATAGAGTCTAAGTAAAAAATTAAAACCATAAAAATCTTTGACCAATAGTTTCTTTGTCAAATTCTTCAGAAACTTCTGCCCTAAATCAGCCCCCCCCCCCCATTGATACCAACAGCATACGTATGACAGATCATGTATTTTGCTGACTATCATTCAGCTTATGCACAACCCTTTCCCGTGGTGATTCTAGTTATTTATCTGGTCCGTATTTTCTGAATCCAGTAGCTTGTTTGTCCCCCAAGAGCCAATCACCACGGGCTTGACCTATGCAAACATCTTGTAAACCAATCAGCACTTACTTCACCTCTGCAATCTTTGGTGCAAGCATAGGTCAGATTTGAATTATCGAATAGAAAGCAGAGTTCACCTCTGCAGTGGTTAATGCAACCAATAAGAATCCGAGTTCACCTATGCAATTGTTAACAGTAACCAATAGGATTAAAATTGGTCTTTGCAGTTTCACCTTTGTAATTTTACTCATTTGAACTTGCAACACTGATCACAGTTTATTCTGGTGTCCTGCTGAAGTTTCCAGCTAGCTAGCTTTGCAGGACAGTTGATCTTTGTTTAATAAGGTAAGTGATATTTTATTTTAAATTGTTAAATGTAAAATTTGCTTAGTTATACAGGTTAGGGTTAGGGTTAGGGTTAGGGTTAGGGTTAGGGTTAGGGTTAAGTGATATTTTATTTTAAATTGTTAAATGTAAAATTTGCTCAGGTATACAGGTTAGGGTTAGGGTTAGGGTTAGGGTTAGGGTTAGGGTTAAGGTTGGGTTAGGGTTTGGGTTAAGGTTAGAGTTAGGGTTGGTTAGGTTACGGATAAGTGATATTTTATTTTAAATTGTTAAATGTAAAATATGCTCAGTTATACAGGCCTAACCCTAACCCTAACCTGTATAACTAAGCAAGTTTTACATTTAACAATTTAAAATGAAATATCACTTAACCCTAACCCTAAGCTAACCCTAACCCTAACCCTAACCCTAACCCTAACCCTAACCTGTATAACTGAGCAAATTTTACATTTAACAATTTAAAATGAAATATCACTTAACCCTAACCTAACCCTAGGCCTAACCCTAACCCTAACCCTAACCCTAATCTGTATAACTGAGCAAATTTTACATTTAACAGTTAAAAATAAAATATCACTTAATCCTAACCCTAACCCTAACCTGTATAACTGAGCAAATTTTATATTTAACAATTTAAAATAAAATATCACTTAACCCTTACCCTAACCCTAACCCTAACCTGTATAACTGAGCAAATTTTATATTTAACAATTTAAAATAAAATATCACTTAACCCTAACCCTAACCCTAACGTAACCCTAGGCCTAACCCTAACCCTAACCCTAACCCTAACCTGTATAACTGAGCAAATTTTATATTTAACAATTTAAAATAAAATATCACTTAAACCCTAACCCTAACCCTAACCCTAACCTGTATAACTGAGCAAATTTTATATTTATCAATTTAAAATAAAATATCACTTAACCCTAACCCTAACCCTAACCTAACCATAGGCCTAACCCTAACCCTAACCTGTATAACTGAGCAAATTTTTTATTTAACGATTTAAAATAAAATATCACTTAACCCTAACCCTAACCCTAACCTAACCCTAGGCCTAACCCTAACCCTAACCCTAACCTGTATAACTGAGCAAATTTTACATTAAACAATTTAAAATAAAATATCACTTAACCCTAACCCTAACCCTAACCTGTATAACCTGAGCAAATTTTACATTTAACAATTTAAAATAAAATATCACTTAACCCTAACCCTAACCCTAATCTGTATAACTGAGCAAATTTTATATTTAACAATTTAAAATAAAATATCACTTAACCCTAACCCTAACCTAACCCTAGGCCTAACCCTAACCCTAACCTGTATAACTGAACAAATTTTACATTTAAAAATTTAAAATAAAATATCACTTAACCCTAACCCTAACCCTAACCCTAACCTGTATAACTGAGCAAATTTTACATTTAACAATTTAAAATAAAATATCACCTAACCCTAACCCTAGGCCTAACCCTAACCCTAACCTGTATAACTGAGCAAATTTTACATTTAACAATTTAAAATAAATTATCACTAAACCCTAACCCTAACCAACCCTAACCAACCCTAACCCTAACCCTAGAGCCAGGCCACAAAGGTGTTAGGAAGCCTTGTCATTGATGAGGTCATATCAACCTCTGATTATGGATATTGGCTCAATATTCATGATGTAGGAGCTCATAGCGTATCAGTTAGGATTTTAGTAGGAGTTAAATATTTTTAGAAAGACTTAAGATAGCAAGACTTCCGATGTTGTAGGCACATGCTGCCACAAGGCTGCGCCCCTCCCACTAGCACTCATTATTTTTATAAATCAAACCTTGGGCCTAGGAAAGACACATTTTTACGAAAGGTATCAAGGGTCTGCTGCCAGGTTTCTGTAGCTGCTTGGTATATCGTAGAGTTATCTTAATTTTCATCAATGCACACAGTTCAGGTGTTCTTTGATATATTTTGTTGTTGTATAGGCTGCCACATTGAATTATCTGTTATATATGAATATTGCCTTCTGTTATTTTTGAGATTCATTAAACAAAAAGTTTTCTGAATTATACTCTTGTCATGTTTTGAACTATGCACCTGCAAACAGGGGCGAAACTTCACTATTTTCATTAGGGGGGTATAAAGCTTAGATGCCCGACGAAAGGGCGTGGCATGCTTGATGACAGGGTGTGTCATACATGAACTTCATTTTTAGAGCACATCGCCTCAAGGGCTGGAATCATCGGGAAGCCCGAGAGAGGGTCTTTAGACTCAGGCTGTTTTTTTAAAGTCAAGAAATATGCCTCTAGTTTGTCTGGTGTTGGCTATAAACATTTTCACTTTCTAAATCACATAGCTATTGAGAAAGCAATTCAAAAAAGGGGATTGAAGTAGGGTCTCAATTTTATCAAAGTGGAACACCAAAACGGAGCTAGGAAATTTCGGAATTTAGAAACAGCTACGCAGATTACATTGTTTCAACAAAAAGAGCTTCAGTTGCATTTTCTGAGTTTCATTTTCAATTTTCGGTTGCTCCGGAAGCAATTTCAACATTGTTAGACACCCAAGCACAAAGTACGTATCTCTAAATTCACCATCACAAAATCCCTCAAGCAATGATGAAAGTTTCATACATTTGGAAAAGAAAGTATTGATTGATTTTTCTCAACAAAGTATTCCGAGATGGTATATCCTTCATGCTTTGATTTATGATGCTTCTAAAACTGTTGGTGTTCCATGGGCTCCGAGGCAGAATGGAAAGGGGGGCGGGGGCTTGTCAAGGGAAAATTTAGAAATCACAACAAAGAATTTTGAAAAAAGCTCTCTTGGTTTGCAAAAAGTAGGGGTGGGGGGGGGTATGCACAGTGTTCATTTCCTTCTCGCATCAAACACACTTTACTTTCCGTCTATACTTTCGCTGTTGATCAATACTTCAGACTTCATCGCGAGGCGAAGATAAACATGTGCGTGTCGAGCTCGAGACGAAAGCGCTGATCGGTGGACAAAAAAAACAGAAATGTATATATGTTGCTGTTCCTAGCCTCGTTTCTGTTTTGTTTTCCCAACTGGGAGGAGATTGAAAAAAAGATGGGGGAAAAGACGTGATTAAAAAACCAAGCTAGGGCAAAAAGTAGCAATAAAAGTGTGACATAAAGAAAATTTCCAGATTTGCTGGACAGATACACTGGCAACCATAAATTTGCCCGACAAAATCTGCTATTTTAATGATTGGGGGGGTGCAGCACCCCCCATACCCCCCAGTAGTTTTGCCCCTGCCTGCAAAGTGCGCTTATTCTGAAAAATTCCCCATGAAAATTTTACTTTTTAATTTTAAGTCAAAGAAAACTTTTCTTAAGTCCTTGTAAGGCTAACTCGAGAGGTAGACAAAGGAAACATCATAATTCTATTCTGGATCGAATATAACTATGAGTACCTTAGGAACGAGTCCTGGCTTTTTCTAGAAATCCCTGAAAAAATCCCAAAATCCTTTTCTTTTTATAACAATTTTGCTACTTACTCTTAGGGGTACAATGACCATTTGACAAAATTGTAAGATAGCCATAAAAAAGTTGCACTGACAGAAAACCTTTCCACTTTTGGTTTCTTTTGTTATGCTTTATTTGATTTTTTATTTATAAATAGTATTGGAATAAATACTGAAAAACATAACTTTATTTTGGTGTATGCTAAAAAGTATACTGATTATCTCCTTATTCGCTGAACCCTGGTGGGATCATGCCACCTGAATAAGGCAATCAAAACAATATCTAGATATTATTTACAGTGGCTGACTCAACTGTAAGGATTAACAAATACCCCCTTAATAGCTTGGTAATTTTCTTTGTCATGATTTAGCATGAAAGCTAAGAAAACACTATCCATCCACAAAATCATTTTGATTCATTTATTGTCTATGCAGCTTAGCTTGTAGACATTAATGGAGAGGATGGTTTACTAACAGTAAATCTGAGTGTAATGTTCTACATCTAATGCAAAATATGTCAAATTGCATCTTCACGAAATTCATGAATACGACACTAGTCATACTTCAACAACCAATGGATTTTCAGATGCCTCTCTATTCTATTTCTGGTTTTTCCATCTCTATTCTTTTTCAATTTCTTGTTATTTTAATGGTGGTTGTCAGCAAAAATTAAATTCATTAATTCTATGGTGACTTCCTTGGCAAAAAAATGGTCTTCCTTTTTTATGAAATTACAAAACGTTTCCCTGCTACTCTTTTTCAGAATATGTTGTGTGGAAAATCTCAGATTTGCTAAGAGATTGCAACACTGAATCTTCTGCTGCTCGAGTTTCTTCTGTTTCGAATGTCCAAGGTACTTTAAGGAGTTTTCTAGTTGTCCCAGCAAAACAATCTATTCCTCCATTGCCCCCACGAAAATCAAACAATTAGTATCATGTAAAAGAAAGCAGAAATTAATCTTGGACAGCTTTTCATTGAAAAAGTCAAGAAAAGATTCTTTTGAAGACAGCCCAGGTTCTACAAGCAACTTTCTAACAAAATATGTGCCTAGTAGCTCTCTATTGGTGTCAGAGGTACTTGATGGTGCTCTCTGTATCAACTGTGTTCTGTTTGGTGGAGAGGCATCTCATAATGCATCTAAGTTAACATTTTTGTTTAAACTGCCATTCAACCAATGGGGAACCGCTCTAAAACGCTTCAAGAATCATCAGTTGAAATCAACAGTTCATCAGACATCAACACTCAGCTACTGAGTTTAAGGCTCGCATGGAAGGAACGGCAAAGCCTATAAATATCATGTGTGATAGCATGATTTCGAAGACTGTTGACCTCAATCGATGTAAACTGCTTCCCATTGTTGCTGGAGTAATTTATTGCGCTAGGCAAAATATTTCACCAAGGTCGCACCGTGTCGATTCGCAGTATCGCGACGACGTAAAGTATAACCCAGGTAACTTCCAAGCAATCTTGCAGTACCTCTCAAAATATGGCAACAATGCATTGTTCCAAGAACATCTTGCCACAGCGCCAAAGTCAGCTACTTATCAGTCAAAAACCACCCAAAACGAAATCATTCGTATTTGTGGTAAAATTGTTGAAAGTGCCATAACAGATGAAATCTTAGATGCCAAATACTTTTCTGTTCTTGTTGACGAGGCATCTGACATAGGCAACCAAGTACAAATGACACTTGCTTTCAGGTTTGTTGATGCAAACTTTAAGATTAGAGAGTCATTTCTTGGATTTTATTTATCCTCCGGAGGACTGTCAGGTCAAGCAATAGCGGCAAACATTCTTCAAGCTCTTAAAAAGCTTGGCCTTAATATAGATTTCTGTCGGGGTCGGGGCTACGATGGTGCTGGGAATATGGCAGGAAAGGTTAACGGTGCTTTCTTCATTATTCAGCGTGATCACCCGAAAGCAATATATGTCCATTGCAAGTCTCATATTCTTAACCTGTGCGTTGCTTCATCGTGTAAGTTGCAGCTTGTTAGGAATATGATGGGGCACGTTCGCGTTGCTGGCAAATTTTTCGATGCTCACCTAAAACGTTATAAGTATCTGAAAAGAGAAATCGAAAGCTTGCTGCCAAATGCCCGACATAAACGTGTGCTTGATGTCTGCAAGACAAGATGGATTGTCCGAATCGATGGGCTGGACGTGTTTGTTGAAGTATTAGAAGCGGTTGTTGCTTGCTTAGCATCAGTAAAGAATAATGTAGATCGGTCGTGGAGTGTTGATTCCATAAGAGATGCAAATGGTTTGTTTCATGCAACACTGTCCTTCGAGTTCATCGTCTGTCTTGTTGTTGTTTCCCGTGTTCTAGAGGTAACACGACCTCTTACCAAACAACTTCAGTCTCCTGTGATTGACATTTTAGCGTCGGTAGAAAAGGTTACACTTCTTTTTTCGATGTTGAAGAGAATGCGAGAAGCAGTTGATGATCTGCACAATGTATATTTTCAAGAAGCTGTTGATATTGCCAGTAGTGTTGGAACGAATCCTTCTTATCCACGACAAGCCGGTAGACAACCGAACCGCGCAAATACGCCAGCCGATTGCCCCTTTGTTTATTATCGTCGTGTCATTACGGTGCCTTTCCTTGATCATCTTACTAGTGAAAGAGAAACTCGCTTTTCGAAGCAAAACTTAAACATTCTTAATTGCTTTTATGCACTTCCTCGAGCAGTTGTTTCCAATCAAAATTGGTCTATTAATTTCGAAAAATATCTGTCGATATATAGAGATGATCTTCCCGAACCACGGTATTTAGCAACTGAACTGAAAATGTGGAAGGCCAAATGGAAAAGGTTTCAAGGTCCACTTCCATCAAGCCTAGCAGCAGTTTTACCCGACATTGAGAAGATCACTTTCCCTAACTTATTTGTCGCTCTTTAAATATCAGCTACTATTCCTGTAACGTCTTGTTCTTGCAAAAGATCAATTTCTGTGTTACGTCGCTTAAAGACCTACCTTCGAAACACTATGGGCCAAGAACGCATGAATGGTCTTGCCCTGCTGCATGTTCATAGGGAGATTGAAGTTGATCCTTTCCAGGCCATTGATGTTTTTGCTCGAGAGAATCCTCGCCGGATGAAACTTTTAGACATCTTATCTTAACTCATCAGCGTCCTTTTTTGTAAATAACCTTTTTACGTTTCTCTTAATATTTTCAAGCATCTTTGTGTTTCATTAGATTTCTGAGTTCAAGAGGTAGAACCTTTCGCTTTTTTAAGCTTTCATATTCCAGCTTTGTATAGTGCTATGGTGCATCCATTTTCATTTAAATTGCCGTTGCCAATCATTCATAATAATTCTCAAGCTTGTTTGCTCGTCATTGGTTTTCTAGTCTTATTATTATTATCCAGCTATTTTCCAAGCATTTTCAGAGTTTGAAAAATTAGGATTTACAAATTCTTCCCTGACACAAGCTGCATAATAAAAATTTACTTTAGCGTGTTGTAATGCGAATGAGCATGCTCGGAACGTCGAATCGCATTTCCATTCAATTATCAGAGTCGCCTTTTAAGTCAAATCATATATTATCAGTTTTGCCAACTCTTTAAAAAAGCACATTGAGAAATTCGACAGATAGAGAGAGCATAAGATTGACTCTGTGCAGTATGGCATTTTGAAGTGGAGATGCTGACTATGAAGTGGATTTTTGAAGTAGATATGATATTTTTTGGATTTATGATTTTACGAATTTGCAAGCTTTTTACTTTTGTTGTTAATTTTATAGCAGCATCACGCCACGATAAAGGGTTGATTTCTAGACAATCCTTATATTCAACTTTCTCATTTCTTTGATCCTTAGGAATCGTTGCGTTATCTTGTTTTCACAACGCGTTTATAGCGGTTTTTCCTAAGGATAACATATGAAATTCAAAATGTTTTATGCAATAGTCGACGATTTATCTAATCCTATCGTTAAAGTATTCGGTAAAAGGGAAAAACCATTAAGAATAGCTGTAAATATCTTAAAGTCGATGTTTTGTTACTTTAGGAGTCATAGTTTATTTTTTTTTAAATTCTATTGTGTTATCTTGTTGACAACGTGAAAGCAATTTAGTGTTGTTTATCAATTTCTATTGATACTAACTGTTCCCTTGATTTCTTTTTCGAGAAGCCATACTGATTTCTTGATATCAGTCATATAATTTTTATACCAAAAACCTTTGGGCGTTACCCATAAAAAGGATGTGGTTTATTCTTTCTGAAAACTTTTGCATAAGTCAGATTTTAGGCTGGTTCCGCGCTTGCGTCAGTATAGATTTTTGCATAATTTTGGTTATCTAAAAGATATTGTCCGATGGCAGAATAACAGTGTTTTTAGATCTACAAAATCAAGGATCAAAGTTGTTCTCTTTGAAAGACAGTTTTGTTTCTTATGTTGGAAGAAACATGTTGTTCTATCATATCCCCCAATCTTTGGGTTGTGCGTCCTAAGTAGCCAGAATTATGTGTGCGCGTAAATTCATAAACAATGGAACCCTCTTTGGGTGGTAGGAACTCAATCCTTTTGAATAGATGGAAGGGCTCTTCAAGTACTGTAAACAATACAAGGATTGTTATCATAAAAGCATGATGATATTTTGAGTAGTGTCAGATGAAAAAAGCTTTTAGTATGTAGAAAAACGTCTGCTTTCTTCAAAGCCATTTTCAAATTCGTGACATGATCTTGCAATATCAACTTATTCGGCTGATTGTCCTGTGTAACTTGCTTTTCATTGCTCCTGGTTTCCTAGGTAGAGAAACGAATATCGATTTGCTGAAGTCATCAGTATTACTCTACTGTTATGAATCTCAACTACGACATCTTTGAGCTTGTCAATTCCAAATTCATCCAGTGCTGTTATCGTCTCTTTCACTATCCTATCAGGTCCTTGTGCTTTGTTTTTCTTCGTCTATTCCAAACAGCTGTTTCTGAATTTGCACTTTGGTTTAGTTGTGAAATGAAATAGTCATATCAGTACCATAAATTGGTTTTTTTCATATGCAACTTTAGGCCAATGATCCTGACAAAGTTCTCAAGCAATACTCATCTTTCTGTAGCAGCCCAGTGAATTTGCAAGATAAAATGGCGCATAAGCTGCTTGGTGAGAATTTCAAGGTAATTATACAAAAATGATATTTCCAAAAAGCTACTAATAATTGTGGGGCCTTATAATTGCCTAATAAATTGTGGCATTTACTCTTTTTAGCATACAATCAAAGAATTTCGCCATATATTTTCCTATGCTATGTTTCTTTCAAATGTTTGTTTCAATAATATGCTATTTTTGTTGTCAAGTTGCTTGTTTGTGCAAAGGAAAAATCTTTCATTAATCAAGTTGCGATTTGGTTAAGTATGGTGAAGTATGATATAAGCAATCTTATACAGTAGCTTTACTGATTTTCAAATTATTAAAATCTTTCTTTTTCCACTTTTGTTAATTCGTTTCGCTGCTTAAATCTAGTTTTGATGAACTTCTCTCTTGCATTGCAAAACTTTCCTCTAAGTCTGTTTCGTAGAATTTATCCCCACATGCGCATTTATTCATTGAAAACTTTACTTTTGCAGGAGAATTTGGAAGTCTTGCGAAATATGCTGATGAATACGTTTTATAATCAAAGGATTGAGCATGTAAGCAAATCAGTTGTTTTCGTTTCCGCTTGAACTCGGGGATTAATTACGTAGGCCTCTTATTTTCTAAACCATTCATACTCATTATACTTCACTTAAACTTTCTTATACTGATGCTATATTTTTTATTTAAGTGGCTATCCCCAGATGGCTTCCCTGCACTGATGGCCATGATTGGCATGAATGGGCAAGGCATTGGAACCAGGTAGCGACCACTAATGCATACAAAGTTATAAGATTCCCTTTGAAATTTGACTTGAGGTCAATCATGTTTTAGTTTATTTCAATAAAAAGAATGTATTCTATTATTACAAAAAACCATTTTTGATAATGCTTGACTTTTACATGTTTTTACTTTGATTTAATCCTCTAACTAGCCTGCGCCTCAGTCCACAAATGCTGCCAAATTTATGGACTGTGCAATATTGATCAATATTCAGTCCAGGCAGAAGGCTGAGTCTAGTGTATGAAAATAATTTATGCAATATAACCATTGAAATCTTTCATAAAAAATCTTCGAAGAAATTTGCACTGAAATCAAACAGGACGAAGATAAGATTGTGCACGATAAGTTTAAAGTCTTGCAAGGTTTGAACCGTTGATAATTTCAGCTAATTGCAAAATTTGGAGAGGTTGCATAAATTACCACTAGATTCTGGTGGAAATTCTTGAAGTGATTGGGGTGGCTGAAGTAAATCAGTGAATCGATCACTTAGCTTGAACGGAGGGTTCTCTGCAATGCCAATTTCTTTAATGAATTTCTGAGATATTTTTGTCATCAACACCTCAGTGGCCAGGCATTGATAGCTGTTTCCTTTGGATAAATGTTTTCCAAATATCAACCACATATAATCTTTATTAATAATTTATTCTAATGACTTCCAGTTCACTAAGTCGATACGTCCATAACATTGATGCATTGGAAATGGATGAGCACGACAGGAAGTTCGTTGATGCGCAAATTGACCAGCTTTATGAAGATATTGAAAAAGGTATCCCATTATAATTCAGGTTACCTTATTACCATTTTAAAAAGTGGGCTTCACTCACATGAAGCTTAATGATTATAGCTTGTGAAGACCGTTTTTCAAAATGTATTAAATAAAAATATTTTATTAACGTAAGTGGCAAAGAAAATGGTGCGCTGCATTTTTCTATTTTTTGTCTGATGTTTGGCGTGTTCCTACGATGTTCTTATTTTCAACAAATCGAGACTTGTTGCACTTATAAAGTATGTTTTTTTGAAACGAATATTGTACGAACCTTCCTTTCTCGCTAGTTTTTTCCTCAAGTACATCGTATTTAAAGTACCGACGAAGTACTCATTTCATTTCATTCTCTAAATAATAAAGTATTTCATGCTTTTTGTACTTAGACGTTTCATTTGCCAAACAACCTTTAGAACCCAGCCGCATTGAAGGATACATATTTTAATTTGTGATACCTCAACTGTATTTAGAGTTTTTTAAAGTTTTTAGAAAGTGTTCTTATATATTATGTACTAATATGGCCTTTTCATAATCGATATGCGTTGCATGATCATGTTTTTAGAAGCTGGCCAATTCCTGAATTGTGAAGGATCAGGCTTGTACATCAAGCAGAGTTGCTGTGAGTATTTATGTTGAGAAAAAGACGAATTGCATAATAAATTGTGTACATGGTTTTGCTATCTGATGTTTTAGATTTCTGATGTTTCTAGCACTGTGCACCCGTTCCACTGCGTCCGTGTATATGGAGATTTTTTGAAAGGCCAAAACTCAAATGAAACTTAGACCGAAAACGTTTTATTTTCAATAACGTCGTTGGCAACGAGTATCTAACAATAGGACCCAATGATAAGACTCTCCTATCGCTGCATCGGTTTATCCGGCATTTCAGGCTATAAATATTTTTGTTCTAGGCACCTAGGCCTTTTCTGGCCCCCATCCTGATTTCCGCTATCTATATAGCTAGACCATTGCCTGTGACTCAAATCTGTCGTTTCTGCCACTGTGATGAAAGTCTATCATAAGTGAGCAGGCAGTGAGCAAACAATTAAGTAGTTCCACTTACTTACCCGTCAGAGCTCTCATCGTAACGAAACTCATCTATGCCATGTTGGGAACAAATGCTCAAGGTTTTTGCTAGCTTCAATTTGCGCCTTCAAGGTCTTACAAACTTGACAAAACACTCTTTTTAAGACTATCGAGTCCTTAGATCCAAAATTTGACGTAAAAGACATTGTAGTTTTCAAATTTTTCTCTTGTGTTGACAAAACAGAACAGATTATATCACCTTATCTACCATACCAGTAACAAATAAATGTCATGCAAAGCTGTTATTTAGTTTTCTTAGAAATAATTCGTATTATTTAAATGTGGAAAATCAATGTTGAAATATGAATCACATCAAGAACACCCAAGCTCCAGATAATCTAAGAATTAAGAACATTGACCCTGGGCAAAATTTTTATAGTTTTTATTAAAAAGTGGATATCAATAAATAGCATCTAAAACAGTTTAAGTTGTCTGATATATGATAATATTGACCCTTCTCTCTTATGCTTTGAAAATAACGATGCAGTGAGGTCTGTTTTTGCTTTGGCGCTGAATATTGCTAGTCATGTGTCTGATATTTGTATGAATTTATTGTCCTCTTTTATTTTAGGTAATCATAGTTGCGCCCCAAATGCAGAGGTCACTTTCCCACACAATAACTCTACTCTTGTCCTGGTAGCCATCAAAGATATTGAACAAGACGAGGTAGGTTTTATTAATGAGTTTTAGATTAATTTCATGAGTCCTAAAATTTTTGTGAATTGTTTTTCAAGGTATGTTGCAAAACAAGAAATACAATTTGCTATCTCTAATATATGTATAACAAATCTAGAATCAGGGAAATTCGAAATAGGATTTATTATCAGGGAACTTTTCTGTTTGCAATACGTTTTTGAAGATATTTGTCTTTATAGATTTTTGTCTTTATAGATTTTTGTCTTTGAAGAAGCCATCTTTATATTCATTACTGAAATCAGCTTTTTGTCTTTGGACAAGGCATCTTTATATTCATTACTGAAATCAGTTTTTGCCTTTGAAGAAGCCATCTTTATGTTCGTTACTCAAATCAGTTTTGACGTCGTTGCTAATAAAGTGCAACAACTGTTGGTTTTATTTCCTGCTGTTCCTTTACGTTTTTTGCTTTTTTCATCATCATACCTGGTTAAAGGTTTTGTGTCTGTTTACACATTACATTTATTTCGTGCAAATGAAATGCATCCTATGTATCAAATGGTGTGAAGACTTTTTCTTGAACTCCTAATCTGGTATTTTGTAACATTTTACAGTCATCTTAATTTGCCTTTTATTATTCACAGGAGATCTGCATCAGTTACCTCGATGAATGCCAACGTGAACGCAGCAGGCATAGTAGACAGAAAATACTGAGGTAGATATCTTCGTTCACAGCTTTGTTTATTGAATAAAATCTGAAGCAAAACCCATTTATTGTGACACACTGGTATGGTGATCGAAGTTTTCCTACCATTTTTACAAATGTTTTCTTGATTTTCTGTATAGAACAGGAATGTTCCAAGTTGCTACTCTCAGTCTCACGCTTAATGCGATCATCAGGCAACTCGTATGGTCACAGTTATCTGATTAAATTTTTACCTTATTTTCAACTTTTTCAAACATTTTAACATTAATACAACGTTTCTTCTTTGCAAATGAAATAATATAGTTCCCATTAACTTTAGTTGCATTAGTAACAGAATTGTCCTCAAAAACTTCACTTTTTCTTCAACATTCATCATTCTTGTAGTTTCAAACACTGATATTTTGCAAAAATTTATTGACAGAGAAAATTACTTATTTCAATGCTCTTGTCCTGTTTGCGAGTCACAAATTGACACTGCCAACCAGACGTCATCTGAAGAAGAAGAAGATTATGATGAAGACGATCAATGAAGATTTGAACTGTAACTATTCCAGCGCTGTCGTTTGTCTTCTCTGTATTGATATGTGGCACAGGCGTAGTGGAAGCACCGGGGGTGGCGGGGGGCTTAGAGATAAAATGAGACGGGCCTCTACGAACGGTCTGTAAGAAGGTCCCTACATGCATTAGTGTGGGGCAGATAGACAACAATTGGGACTCTATGTAATTCCGTTTAGAATCTGTGTCAAACACAATACAAAATGTAAACATGCTGACGTTTTTCATTAACTAGGAGAGGGGGCTGAATTATATGCTCCAGTTATAGAAATTATTTCCTATACTTACTATTGAAATTAGGCCCTTGTGAGCTCTTGGAAAAACTGTCTTTTGAAATATTTTAAAGGTTTTCCTTTTGATCGTGGCTCTAAGTTATCCCCAATTTGCTTTACGTCATCTGCATGCATGCAAAGAAAAATGTAGAAAAAAATGTAGCCAAGCAAAGAGACGGGGCAAGCTAGAAATTGGCTCATGCGAGATTGCGATTGATTTCAATGCCTGTGCCTTTTAACGGCCAGGACGGAAAATGGCCCATTTATAAGAAGGACTCCATTAATTGACCCCTCCAGTAGGCATTCCGTCATAACCCGGGGGCTTGCAGAATATTTTTGTCTAGGTTATAAACAATTTAATGAATTTTTTGATTAAATACGTCTGGCAAACATAATGAACAGTTTTCTTTGATTACAATTGACTAAAGAGTATCTCAGAACAAGACAGGCGTACTTTATCTTTCTCCCCTACACTTTCGGCAAGTTTTTGACCACAAGAAATTATCACACAAAATGTTGCCACATTATTTTACTTTTGTCAATGTTATATCGTTGCTATATTCTGAACTAATACCTTGGTTAGAGATAGTTATGGTTTCGGTTGATACAATTCCATGCCCACAAGGTGTAACACAAGGCTATCTTTTAAGCTTTCTTCTTTTTCAAGCAGTAGAGATGTTTTCGAAACTTTACAAAATGATTGTAATTTATTGTACATCTTATCCTTAAAACAGGTTGCGGCGAAACGTTATGTTTTCAGTTAGAACTGTTTCTTTTTAAATTACATAGGGCCTATTTTCTTGAAAAATTCTTGGCAATGTTTTGTGAAGGCATGTAGATCTACATTTGATTTTCATCAGTCGTTGCAACTCTTCTCCATTTCTGTTTGTCGCATTTATTTCTTAACCTAAGCTATTTTGATAACCAATACCAGTTACGTAGCTACGGGTTGCAGGGGGTCGTGCCTTCCAAATAACTTAGTATGATGCCCAAGCTTGTTATTCTAGGCCATCCTTCTATGTATCCCAAATTTTGTTTGAACATCAAATTTGAACTCATATTGAAAGAATTAAACAGCAACCGATATTGGAGTCAAGATCTTAAATTTTCTGTGCGACAATGAAGTGCTAATTACAATTGAATGATATCGACTTAGCAGAGCTGTGTTTTGCAACATTCTGCGCAAGAGCCCTCTTGTTATTTTGACAGCCTTGCTGTTCATGGATCTAATTTTGAAAGTATCATAAATCAAAGATGAAAAATAAGGAGATTATCGGTGTAAAAGCCTAACAAATTGAGCCTGAAACTCCGGGGCAAATAAAAGAAAATGAGGCCAGAAGGGGGCTAGAGTTTAAGCCTCCAAAATGGTAAAAAATATATTGTTGGGTCTATACACCATGGGATTTAGCCCCCTCCCCCAGAAAGTTTCTCCTGGCCTCGGAGTCAGACTTACAAGAAGTCTATGCTTCAGACGAGAGGTCTGGGTTCTGGTAAAAAAATTTGTATGCGCATGTGCTCAATTTACCGCCAAAAATAGGAAGTCATTGAGAATGATGTTTACTAAATCAAGAATAGCTTGAATTTACGTTATTAACGTGCATTTTATGGATGCTTTGTGTTGTTATTTTGCCTATAACTTATGGAAATTATGTCACGTAAGTTAGCTCAGCTATTTACTCGCCAAAGGATCATAGATAAACCGTAAAAACTACAAGGAGTGTGTTCGTAGGCCGGAGTTAATGCATCAACAATTTTCATGATGGCGGATTGTCTCCGATTCATTATATCTGGGGATAGAGAAGATGAAAAACCGGTGCAAATATTAAAAAAGGCAGCAAGGGAAGCAGCTAATGCTGAAATCCATACCGAGTGGTTTACATTGGAAGATTTTACAACAGATCCTTCAACATACAAACAAGGGGCAGTGGTTGTTTGCGAATCTTTTGAAGGGAATACTTTCGAAACATTAAAAAGCAATGGCTGCAAGATTGTCGGGCCTTCTTGTGTTCTTTCCTGCCTAAAGAATATCCAACCATTGCCTTCTATGATAGAGCCATGTTTGAGTTTTGCAATGTTGGATGTGGTTGCTTGTTGTACAAATATAACATCAGAGCATAGAAAGAAATTAAAAGATCTCATTTCGTCAATGGGTGGAACAATGATTGGTGATTTTACTCAAAGTGTCACACATCTAATTGCTGGAGAAGTAGGTTCTACCAAGTACCAAGTAGCATGTGATCTTGGCAAGCCCATAGTGCAACCATCATGGGTTTATGATTGTTGGGATCAAAGCAAATACAAAGTGATAGACGGTACTGAAAGTTCTTTTGCTAAGAAACATGGCTGCCCTTGTTTTAAAGGGCTTACTATTTGTGTCACTGGTCTGAGTGCAGACATCAGACAGGAGGTGAAGAAACAGACAGAAGAAAATGGAGGCCAGTATTCTGGGGAGTTGAAAATGAGAACTTGTACTCATCTTATTGTGAAACTAGCCAAAGGTGAAAAATATAACTATGCCAGGCAATGGAAGATACATTGTGTATCTTTGCAATGGTTTTATGAGTGTGTGCAATCAGGTCACTGGATAGAAGAGAAAAACTTTGAAGTGATGCCAGGAGAGGAGTCGGTAATGGATGAGTCAAAAATTTTTGATGTTGCCAAAACAAGGGTAAACATGACAATTCAAGGTGAAATGGATGGCACAGCAGCTTCATATAAAGCAGCTAAAGTTGCAGAACAAAGTATAAGAAATAGAGAAAAAGCTAAAAGTGTTGAAGAGAACCCTGAACTGAGGACTGGTACAAAAAATCATATCAAATCAGTTAAGATAAGCACTTATGACACGAAAAAACTAAATTTGTCTGGTATAAAATTGAAATCAAGTATGTTACTAGATGGATGCAAAATTTTCTTGGCTGAGATGGCTGCTGATGTAACCGATCAACTGAGAAAATTGATAAATGCAGCTGGTGCAATGAGATTTAACCAACTTAACTCCAATATTACCCATGTTATCATTGGTGATGTAATTTCAAAAGGCATTGAAGACTACATTGGTAGTGCTTTACAGAAGCCATTTGTTGTTTCTCCAGACTGGCTAATAGACTCTTTTAAGGCGTCAACTATACTTGATGAAAACGGTTTGTGTGGTTTTCTTCATCATTCATATAGTTTTTGCTTTCACAGACCTCACTTTAAATGCTTGAGAAGAGCTTCACAAGAATTGCAAAATTTAATTGTGTGTTTACACCTTTATATGTAGGATTTGATTGATACTATGTTTTTGAATGACTGTAATATCAAGACAAATACCAGACTTATCAGTTATACACATCACTCTTCACATGGTCTCTGTGTAACTGGTTGAATCCTAAGAAATTTTTTATTATTTATATGTTATCCTTTATAGACATCTATGTGAGTCTTAAAAAATACATTGGCCCTTCAATTACCCATTCTGTTCATATGGCATTCCAAACCAAAAATAAATGGCTCTATTATCATGTTCTATACTTGTTTTAATCTGCTGGTTTTAGAAGTGGAGTTTGTCACTTGTAGTTCTTAGGTTATGGCCCCATGGTCTCTAAGTAGGCTTTCAACTAACATGGATGTTGACTGCTCATGTTGAACTTAATACCTAGAATCATGCTATACATGGACATGGATATATAGCATTTCAGCTAGTAACCCAGGGGCATTTGGAGGGGGGGGGGCTGCCCTGAGTGCAGTTAATTTAATCATTTTCTTGTAGTTCTCATAGTAACTGTCTCCTATTAATTCTCCATGTATGTATTAAATTTTATCATTCTAGTTTCCTCTTGGCCAGCTAGCTATAAATTAACTGGTGTAAAAAACACCTTAGTTGAACATTTCTATTGTTCCTCAGAATATTCATTGCTAGACCAAGATGAATTGGAACCTGCAATTTCCCAGCCGTTTAAAGTTCCTGAGCCAAAAAGGGCTGATATTAAGAAAAAAAAAGAAACAGCTACATTGCCGCATCTTGATGATGAATTAGAAGATGATGACGTTTTCATTGGCCAGTACCTGCCACAAGCAGAGAGTAGTCGTATATCATTTGTTATTGAAAACAAAACTACATTACCTGGTGCTAGAGCTGAAAGCGGAAGAATTAGTGATGAACTGCAGAACTCTGATTCTGCAGAAGGTATGTTATAAATTAGTTTGTTTCAGAGATACTAGCTCATTCATTTCAAGAATTGTATGTTTTTGTTTCCCCTAAAAAGTTAATATTTTTTTGGTTACAAGTAAGACTAGTTGAGAGCCTCTTGTATTTTTAGAAATGCTAGGGAAGATTAATGCTAAAAGTTATTGCTTTTACAAAATAGGAAAACATGCAATTTATTTAGGAAAAAGCAAGAGCTGGACTGCTCAAGGTAAAAATGCATAGGCATTAGGGGCATTCCATCCACAGGCACATTTTGCTTTGTTAGAATGCCAAGTTGTGGTTAGTCAATCCCAAACTGACAAAATTCTACATTTTCCATTGCTTACTTTTTTGGAAACAAAATTAGGAAGTGTTATGCCACCCTACACTTACTGACTTCTAGTTTTTGGTGTCTTGAACAGGTTAGTTATATTTACTAATTTAAGCAGAGCCTCGGGTTGTTTCGGGAAAAATATTTGTTAAAATAGATATATTTACTGTTATTTGAGAGGATTCATGTGTATAAATGCTTGCGGAGATAATAATAATGATAATAATAAAGGTGTTTATATTGCATCATTTATTAATATGGCTCAAAGGCACATTACATAATGATCATAGAACTAACAGAGTGATATAATATACAGTATTACAAAGAATGGTAAAAAATTGTTTGTGAAATGAATAAAATCTAATTAAGATATTCTTTAAAAAATGTGTTTTCAGTCTACTCTTAAAAATGTCAAATAAATCCACTGCTCACATTGAATATGGCAGTCTGTTCCAAAGAAAAGGAGAGACCCCTGTAAATGCACAATCTCCACCAGTCACTAGCTTTGTCCTTGGTGTTTCGAGAGTCAAGTCATCATCAACAGATCTTGTGTTTGTGTCTGATCAACAGATGATGCCCGAAGTGTTTGTTTTACAAATTTCTCTTCTCTCTTTTTTCTCAGCTGTTGCTGGACCTGTAGAAGAACTTGAAAGATCCACTTCAACTGGCAAAGAGCATTCCAATGTCATCAATAAATGCAAATTTTTTGTGAAATATTTTGAAGCTGAAACAATGGATCAGATAAAATCATTGGTTCAAGATTTTAATGGAAAAATAGTCAATCAAGATGCAAGAAGTGATTATGTCATTGTGCCTCTAACATATGAGAAGAAAAGAAGGATTGGCAAAAAAGAGGTAATATCTTGAAAACGTTATTTGGAAGCCATAGGATACAAAATGTAAATCAAATAATTTTACCTTGATTTTCTTTCAAGAAACTTGTTAAATGAGAAAAGGTTTTCTGGCAGATAAAATTATTACATTGATTATTTCTGCAAAAACGTCTGATTAAGAATGATCAAGAATATTGGTTTGGATTTGCAACTTCAAGTAATTCAAAGTTCGTTGTATCCCTTGCGGCTAAAACTCATGATGTGTATTTAATTTTTTCATAATATTTTTGCTTTTAACTTCAATCGTCTTGTTGCCTTGAAAATGTTTGCATTAGTATTTGCTATGGTTTAAGCTGTATGTGAAGTCTGATTTTAGTGGCTGGTAGAAACCAAAGGGGGATTTGTCAGCTCTTTTATTAGAGCGTTAACTTGCCTTTGATTTAAGACCTTTTTAACCCATTTTGATTTTTATCCATCTAGTTTAAAAGTATGAGAAAGAGAACGTTTAGTGGAAATTGTTAAAATTCATCTTGTAGGTTACAATTTGTTGGTTAGAGCAGTCACTGGAAAAGGATCAGTTGTTGGAAGTTGATTCGTGTTTCTTGTTTCGTCCGTTTCATTTACCACCGGACTGTCTTCCATTGAAAGACTGTGTTATTTCAGTGAGCCAGTTCACTGGCATTGAGAGAGAACATGTTGTCCAAGTTGCTGACTTAATGGGTTTGTCTATTTGAGATGATCTATTTTCCTCGTTGCTTCTTAACAAAACTTAATTTTGGTTGCTTGCAGATTTATAAGACTTTTTAACTTTGTGATTTAAGAAGCAAAAAAGGCTTATGCCCCTAAGTACTGTGTAAGGGTTTTTAACCTTGCACCATATTCACATCTGATATATGTTTTTCGCAATATCATAAAATCCCTTTTGATTATATCCTACTTTGATTATTACTTAACAAGTGATTCTGCCATCGGTCAACATCTTTTAGACAACCAAGATTGTGCAAAGCTCTATAATGACGACATGTTTCGGATAATTGGCAGAGCCGGGTCGTCCTTCCATCTAGCAGTTTTGCAGTCGATCTACATAAAAACGAAAAAGCCGCCATTGTGTAGACAAAAGGAGTTCGTTTTCTCTCTTGAACTCCATTGGGGATTTTTCTTTAGGCTCGCGGCACTGATTGGTCAACTATACCGGTCTTGTGCGTGCGTTTTTCTGATTGGCCTATTTCGATCCACAACTGGGTATATATTTTCCATCATGTTCTTTCGGAACCTTATTCTAACGTTTTATGCTCTGAGGAGTGTCAGACGAAAAAGCTTTTAGTATGTCGTAAAATGTTTGCTTTTTACAAAGCCATTTTCAAATTCTGTACCGCAAAAAAATTGTTCATATCCTACTTAATGTGACAGTTTAATTTCGACTTCCAGGTGCAGTCATGCAGGACAGTTTCGTGCGGAAAGCAGGCAATGGGCTTCTGGCGAACACACATCTCCTTCTAGCAGAAGCCTCTGGTGCCAAGTACCAGGCAGCTTGTGAATGGGGCGCTCACTGTGTCTCTAAGGAGTGGCTCTTTGCTTGCGCCGAGAAAAAGAGATTGATGCCTGTTGAAGACTACCCACTCGATGATCACACAAAAATTGAATCCGACGAAAACGAGGACGAGATAGAGGAAATAACCGTGAAAGATGGAGATATAACTGAAGCAGAAGATAGCAAGACTGGACATGAGCAGTCGGACCGGGTAAAGGAGATGAACGCTTGTGACGGTAACAAAAAAGACCTTATAAAACCTTACAGCAATGCCCTGGAGGAAAAAGAATTGCCAACAAGTACAACTCCAGTGGCACCGGGCAAGGCGTTACTTCAAGTTGGTAAACCCTTTAAACCATCTTTCGATTTGAATGACATGATGGAGTATCTCAAATCGCCTGCGACTTGCTTTACACCCAGAAGCAAAAGCCGTCAAAGCAACGGGAGTTTCGCTTTGGATGAGTTTGTTGGTGACCAGCTCCGTAAGGCATTAGAGATTACAAGTGGAGACACTCGCAAAAAGTCGAATAAGACCGCAGCTGAAAAAAAGCAAGGGAACCAAAACAAAACCCCTTCAAAAGATGGAAAAAACTTTGAAAAGGTAAGGTTTTTTATAAACCAATGCCAGAAATACGTTACTCCAATATCAAGATGCAAAAACAGATACAGCAATTTAACAAATAATATTAATACTGGATTTCTACAGTGCTAAAATATTAGAATACTTCAACTGTACGTCTGGACATGGGACAAGACAGGACGATACAACAGAGAGTGCGTACAGGCACACCTTCTCTAAAGCCAACAGTTAGTCCATAAACAATACCATTATAAGTGAGCTTGAAGCGATCCCCAATTTTGAAATGGAAAAATTAGTAATGAAGACAATGAAAAGTAGAGACATATTAACAATGATAAAGACAATTAACAATGCATTTAAAGGCAATCAGCAGATAGCAAAGTAGCTCAAACCATTTGTCAGTCAATAGTTGGCCAATCAGTGACCGTGATACCACATGCAGGCCTATTGATTGGCTAATTTTGATTGACAGATCATTTAAGCCACACCTTTCGATTGCATTCAAAATTGAAACCCGGTACCTTATCAGTCAATGCAGTCAACAAATGTTAGGTATAAAAATGTCGGGAAAAAAATTTATTCAGTTTTATACCAAATACATGTAAAGCAGTAAATTGTTATTCCTCTCAGCGTACATTGCAAAATGTGAATTGCGCTTGGAATAGGGACGTGAAGGGAAATACTATGATATTATGAAAGCCGCTTTTTAGATATTTTAGTGAATGGTTTAACACTGAAACTATCTTTGGTATTGCGATATAAAAAGGATTAGAAACACCATACCTAAGAATCATTATTAACAAAATTTGGTCACAAAACCTTGATACATCTAAAAACCTACTGACGCTCAGGTTTATAGAACAGGACGGCTCTTTGTTGCAACTTATACGCACCATGAACTTTTTGTCTGGCCTGCCTTAAAAATCAGCTTATCTTTTTTTTGAAAACAGATATCTGATATCAAAGAAGAACATAAAGACGCTGGAGTATTGCGAGGGGTTGTCATTGCTGTCAGCAAAAAGCTTTTAGAAAGGCAGGGAGAGATTCACAATTTAGCTACATCGTTAGGTGCCGAGTGCCAGTTTGGTTTTGATGAAACTTGCACCCATCTTATTCACAAGGTAAGCTTTTTTGAAGATTTGTATCGATGTTTATATTTTGTTTTGCTGTGACGTAGAATCGTCGTGGATAGCTTTTTGCATTGAATAAAGAAACAGTTGTTGCATCTTTCCCAAATATTTTTGCTTCATTGTGATAGAGCAGCCCGAATGGGGCCTGAAATGCAATAAATTTGCCGGATAAGGGGGGCTGCAACCCTCCCAGCCCCTTCGTCTTTTACGCCTATGTTTGTGATATATTAATTCACTATATCTTTCATAAACGCTTTTCTATATCGCAAGAAAATGAGCATTTTTAATATTTCTGATGAAAATTTAATATTTCTTGCTGATTTTCCTTCAAATTTTTTCGATATCCTTTCTCTTCCCTTCAATGAGCCCCCCTTTTTCTTTTTCCTTTCATTCCTTGACTGTCTCTTTAAAACATATCTCTAATTTTTCTCTTTGCCCAACTGCCTTCAATTTTTCAGTGTTCCTCTCTTCTTTACCTTCTTTCATCTCCTTTTATCTCCTTCTATCTTTTATCCTCTTGCTTTCATCTTAACAAATAATGGCAGAAATGTTTTCTGCAATGTTTAGTGATAATTTGCTGCTCCACTTTTAGGGCAAAGCAACAGATACCCTTGCAGAGGTCAAACAAGCCCGATCACTCAAACGAGAAATTGTCTCTGAACATTGGCTTGATGCTTGTCTCAGTGAAAACAAGAGAGTTGATGAAAAATTGTACCCATGCACATATAATCCAAAAATGTCACTTTCAGTGGTGACAAAGGGAAGACGATCAACTCGATCATTGGTATAATTATTTTTACTTTTCATGTGATATTTTTTTTGAAAAAGACAGGAGTTTGGGATTTAGCAGACACTTTGTGAATGGCAGCATTGATAGGTTGCTTTCGCCAGACAAGTTGAGTAACTATGCATGAGAAACCTTTTAGTTTTTAATTAACAAAATATCTAAGGCTAGCTGAATTGAATTATTACTTCTTGAAAGTTGAATATCTTTATCATCGATTTGTAATGAAGTGAGGTCATGCCGATTTCTATTGGAATGCTGCTTTGCTGGTCGCTTCTAGCGATCAGATCTCAGTGTTTGATGCCAGTTTCTTGTAGACATCTATTACTATACAAAATAAAAAATTTCCTTCTTAAACACCATATTGCTCTTCTAAATTGTATGTGATGAGACACAAGGAAGATACATTTATCCAAACACAAACAGATCCGATGTTACCATGATGCTATGCAAATTACTTTTCTAATGTAAAAGTGCTGGGTACTAGTATTACAACAACGTCACTTCATTGTAGACACCCAATATGAATTTTTTATTATAGAAATCTACTTCAGCTGCCTCTAAAATACTTTCCACGAATCACGAGGAACCAAAAGGAGAAGTTAGTCCTTCCGTCACCAATAACCAACTAGAAAGCCCTCCTCCACGCATAGAGACGCCGAAAAGAACTCATGACGACGGTCCAGTTGCATCAAAGGGACAATCGGCAAGTTTGAAGAAAATGGTTTCTCCTTTTGAAGAAAAGGCGTCGTCCTTGGATGCTCGTTTGGAATTTCAACGTCAAATGGAAGAGCTTATGGAAGCAACAAAGGTGAGCAAAAATTAGAACAACAGATTCACTTGTTGCTGATATATTTGATCAAAGAATCATCCCAAAAGTTTTGAAACCCTGGCTTCAATTTTTTAAGCTGTATGCAGCCATCAATTTTTTCTTATTCAACCATACCACTCGCTTTTTAAGTCATGCTTTTTAAGTCGTACTGGCAGTGAAAATACTGCATGCCTGTAGAAAGCCCGGACACCCAAGACATGCTTATGCTATATCGTAGGATAAGACATACCACAATAACCTATTATTGGTTGGTGTTTTACCTTTGCATCTTGCTAAGCTTTTCATATGCTTTTCGTAGCTGTTAACAGTCTTGAAGTAGTGACCAGTAATTTTCTGCCAGTTTCCATGTGGATAGTACCAGAGTCCAGAAAAGTTGTTAACTTTCCTCCAGACAAAAACATCCCAAAAGACAAACCTTCCTCACAAAAAAATATAAAGTGGGCGTTGCTAGGGTGTGTAGGGTGTGAGCTTCTATTGTTTTTCATGGACCTTCCTCCGGTCAGTGACCGTGCGACCGTAATGTTTTCCTGACTCTGGATAGAACTTACCGCCATCTTGTACAAGCCATGATGCGTCATAGATATTTAATTGCTGTTCACCTATCAATAAGACTACGAATAAGCCAATCAAATGTCTTATACCGGATGTACGTATCTTAGCCAGCAAATAAAAGGCATAGAGTCATGGTAAATAGGTCTTCTCTATTAGGGGGTCATTTGGTTTCGGCGTGATCGCTGCTGTTTCATGTGATATTTGCATCCGTTGTTGACAACTTGCTATTGATGAAAATTGTTTTGTCAATCAGTACGAGGTGAGTTCATGTGACCAGTTCAAGGTCAACCAATAGCATCGCAGTCATGAAAATCATGACTCAGCGGATTTTGGCACTTAGGGTATACCCAATCCATTTTATCATGACTCAATGCCTTTAAGCTAAAGTAGTAGAAATTTGATCGCGAAGATCGCCTTTTTGAGTTTGTGGAGATTGTTCAAGAATGTACCTTTCTTAAGATCTGTGTGGTACCCCTCACTCCAATGCTGTTCTTCAGAAGGCAATAAATTGTTTTTTAGGGCAACAAGGGTGGATTGCGAAGAAATCGAAGGCAGCAATTAAGCTCTGCATCGCCATCCGAAGACCTCAGTTTGAAACGGTCATCTGTGGCAAAGAGGCTTCGTACCAGGCAGTCGTCACAGGTTTGTCTAAAGCAATGATTCATTCGTCAAAAAACTTCCTTGATGAAAAATAGCATGTTGACTCTTTACTTCTTTATTCTTAAGACTTTTGTAGCTCTTTTTTGTTAATGTGAGTTCCTCTCTGGCATCAAGACTTTTTCGTATTTTTTATGTTTTACAGATTATTATGTATTCAGAATACACGACGAGTTCAATTTTTTTATCTTTGCATATGTTATTACCAAGCATTCAATGGTATGTTTCAATTGTTCTGGTAACTTTTGCTTATCAAGCATTAATGTGATCTTTCAGCTCGACATGATTGTCTCCAGTCGAAGTGGTCACCTATATTTTGTTTAAACTACGGACACGTTGACAATCTTGCTTTTTCCTTCCTGTTTATCAAACATTTCTATTTCCTAGAAAAGCAACAGTGAATCTTCAAAGTCTTCCGGGGAAAAGAAACAAGGAACCATAGAACAATCACAAGGGGACGTTATAACGTACGATGACCCAGCAGGCCGAATTGAAAGAGAGAGGATATTGGCTCAGCTGAAAGCCGCAAGTCCTAGCCAGGATGGCTTCCCTTCTTTCAAACCCATCGAGGTCTCCGATTTTCCCTTAGATTCTGCACTGGAAGAACCGAAACAGAACGATGTGAGTCACAATTTTTGTGTAATTAATTTTATCTCAACTTTTTTCAAATAAGAACGTAATACCAATGAAACTTTAGAAATCTTAAGCTTACTTACGGTCATTTTCCAACGTTTATGCTTTGAAAAGTGTCGGATGAAAATCACTACAGTATGCCATGTTTTCGTTATTTCGTGCCATCTTGAAATTTGCTATGCTCGATCAAATATCTTTAAAGCTCTTCGTTGTTGATATGTATATAGATTCTAGTTCTCCGTTCTTTATCTGAGGAAAATTTCATCAAGTTAGAGCTGATGATATGTGTTATAGCTTATCTAACTTTATCTAAGATATACATACTATGTTTTTGGCTAAGTTGTTAGAGCACTGAACAGTCCAAGATTTGATTGTATACATAACCTTGGTCTAATTGCCTCTAATGGTAAACAGAACCGTTATAGCAATATGCGAGACGCTTATGAAGCAAAAAAACCATCTTTTTTCCCCAATGTCATCGGACTATTGTATTCGGGCTTTCTTCTACTCTAATAAATGTATCTTTCAAGAAACTGATAAATGATTTTTGAAATTATCCTCTCTTCCACTAGGAAGCTGCCCGTGTTGGCACACCGATAAAGCAAGAAGCACTGTCTGACAAGCAGCTAGTCATCAACAAACAAGTCTTCCCATCAGACTTTGATCATTTGACAACTCCTCCGAAGCGTCCTGTTAATATGCATATTTCTAAACCTGTCCAGCCACCCCAGCCTGTGAGCCTTCTTGAAGATGACGAAATCCAAGAAGAAAACAAGGCGCCGGTTAAGACGTATAAATTTCTCCTTTCTGCAATGACGCCACAAGAAAAAATCCATTACTCGGCCATGATAGAAGAGCTTGATGGGATGATTTGTGATGCACAGTACTTCACTTTGGAATGCACGCACGTCATAGTTGGCAATCCAAGCCGGTAAGAGTTTTCCATGCAGTGTTAAAATGCATTATAGTGTTATAATTATGTTTGAATATGATAGAGCTAATAGAGGCTAGGCTGAGCTAGGTGTTCACTTAGGCCCAATTCAAGGTTCTTGTCCGAAGGGGTACATATATAAAACTTTCAGGTGTCGTCACCATGAGATGATGAATCACTGCTTTGGTTTGTATGTGACTTATTGACAAAGAATCTGGACAATAATTTTGATAGTTTTCCTAGGAATTTGATAAAGAACGATATGATAATATTTAAAGTTATATAATTTAATAGGACATATTTAATCAGTTTATTTAACTTGAAAATGAGTTTATTTAACCTGAATTGCTTTTGTTTTTTTTAGAAACGAGAAATTTTTAGCAGCTGTGGCTGCTGGAAAATGGGTGCTGCACAAATCCTTTTTGGAGGCAAGCAGAGAAGCTGGGTTCTTTGTGAATGAAGAGGAGCACGAATGGGGTTCGGAAGCAGAGCCTTCCAAGTTAACTACAGCTGCAAGAAGATGGCGAAGAAAGTTAGAGAAAGAGAGAGGGGTATGTTTGGCGTTTTGTGTTCAAGTTTTGTTATTCCACTTTTTGTTAACATACCTAAATTTCTGCAACCATAAACTTCGATGCTATTTTAAAGGTAGAAATTTATTGGAATGTCATGGGTGCAGTAGCTGGATTCACTCTCCTAACTGTCCTTCGATTCATGTCCAAGTGGCTGATGCATTCTTCTGCATAACCTTTGGCTTTACACGTTTACTGTCAAAAATGACTGGCTCCATAAAACAGCAGCTTTTTACAGTATCATATTATTTCTCTTTTAACTTGTAGAGGGGCTCAGTCGAAATAGTTTTTATTAACGATAGCGCTTTTCCATGCGATTAGTGAGAAGCGATTTCAAAGTACAGCTTAGGATAATGCTCTATTGCATCGTATATCGGTTTACACATGAAAGTGTGATTATAGGGTCACAAGCAATACTTACTGTTTAGTATAGCACAGTCGATACTGATGACCTACTCTGCTTTTAGTAAGCAGTTGCTTGAAATGTTTTGACTTCTGATGAAATATGATTGTAAAATGGAACTTAAGATGGCTGAATATAGAAAACAGATTCGACTGTAGAACTGACATCTGGATTAGTTTTTGCAAAACATGTGTCCTCATAACAATTAAGGTTGTGTTCTATTAAACGTTTTGTAACTGACTCTAGCTCTGTATTTTTATCAGAAAAACCAGTCAGCTGGAGCATTCAGTGGATGGCACGTGCTGCTGTGTGTGGGCTCCTCCGTACGGCAGCATGGTTTTAAACGAATGCTTGAAGCTGGTAGTGGAACAGTGGCAAGCATCCACCCACCCTTCAATGCCCTTGACGGGGTTACACACGCTTTTATAGGTACTATCATATTCGTTTTGGTGTTACCAAGCTAGTACTTTTCAGTCATAGACTTGATGAAATAGTGGTTAAACTTATACTTATTGCCCAGGCTTTTAGAAATTTTAGTCTTCATCTATAGCATGCAAGTTCCACTGCCTATTGAATATTGAAACCCTTGCCTTATCGTTCTAGGCGTCTGTATAAACGCTAAAATAGAAAATAATGCAGAGTTTATTGAAAAGTTTTATAGCCTTAAAACAAAAATTGAATTTTTCGAAAAGCTATTTCTTTATGTTTGGGTATGGAAAGCAGAATTCGAGTATGGAAAAAATGTCAAAGGTACTGACGAGACCAAAGAATGAACATATTAGCCAAAACTAAAACTTCAATGGTTTCAATTTCATTCATATATGGCTCTTTGCTTTTCATCCTCGAATATTGTCTCTCTGCCATAAACATAGCAAATCACAAGCCTGCAGAAATAATGACGCGGCGTCAGCTATTTTGTTGTGAGATACGAATCGTTGGTTATCACTTAAACCATGTATGTTTTCTTTGCAGATCCTAATAAAACCAAACCAGGTGTTATAGACTACAAAACGCTCTATTCAGCAGGGATATGGGTATTACGCCCTGATTATATCGCAGATTACCTTACGCAAGAGCCAGCCCCGCCAACCATGAAATACGTTCTCCAAGAGGTCCAGAGCTTGATGGAACCAGATGGAAGCCTGGTGAGTTTTAATGACTCTAAAAAACGCAAAAATCTGGATGAGCGGTCCTCCCAAAAAACCAAGCGCAGCAAGAATTGAAGCAGAGAACTAGCGATTTATTCATGTTAAACTATTCATGTCAATTTATCGATCACAAGATCTAAAATCTTCCTATGGGCTTCCGTGATAAAATAAATGGCCCTTTTTCACTTAATCGGTGCACAACAGGGCTCTGTGTGTACCTATGCGCACCATTAATCAAAAGGATGACTTCAGAAGGCTGAAGATGGACAAAAGACCAAAAAACGACCTGGCGCGTGGCCTCCCCCTGGTTGATGTCAATACTTCGTCCAAGGTGGGTTGACTGGATTTTGGTCGCCAATCATAAGACAAGAAGGGCGTAAACGAATCGTCCATCAATATCTTCTACTTCCCTCAAAATCTTTGCAAAATGAAGAGTACCGGAGTGATCCACCTAAGTGTGACGAATTCCTTAATTTTTGACCACATAATCTGAAAGAAAGGCATAAAATACCACACAATATGCAAAATCAGGTAGATATGTTCAAAGATTTCAAGTTTGCCAACGGTAAACTGTTATTCTGGCCTGGTTCATGACGTTATGAGCCAAGACCCAGTACCAGAGGTTTGATTGGGAAAGAGACAGTGCTCATGTGGCCCTATCCCAGTCAATTTGTTACTCATTCAACTGATTTCGCACTGTTAGAGGTATTTCATAACGCTTGTTTGTGTTATAAAATCACAATTGAAAAATTATAAAATAGATTTTCTGGCGTCATCACTTCGGTACTCTTTAATTTTTGGGAAATAGAGATATAATGTTTCATGTCTGCTCAAAATATAATAACTGTTAGGTGATGTTTTCATGGGAAATTCAAGAACTGTCAAATTTTTATCGAATTTTCTGTTCAAAACTGTTTGAAAACACCGATTCAAAGCTAAAATAAACAAAACATTTGCTTATTATCATTATGAATATACCAATTATACTAAATGTCCTCAAGTCATCAGTTTCGGGTACTATTCTGTCAGAAAATGAAGCATATTTTGGTATTTTGATGAACTATCTTAACCCTTTTCAATCCTCCGATTCCTCTGCACCATCCGTCCTGCTAAAATGATAAATACCCTGCTTTAATTAGTTCGTTGAAAATTATTTCTCTTCGAGTCACTTACTGCCTTGAAGCATTTTAAATTCGTTTCTTAAATGTTGAATTTCATTGTGTAGAGCTATGATATTTAGCTTGTGGATATATGTAAATTTTTAACGCGTTTTGATTAAAAATTTTGAGAAAGATTTTCGTTTCCTTTGTGTTGCAACCTAAAATCGCTAGTAAAGTAACAAACTGGCTCTGTAAAAGGCAATGCATGCAGAACAAAGTCGTAGGCACGGGGTAAAAACGAAGTAGAAGGAAATTAACAATAGGGTATATACACTGGGAATTAAAAGGACATTTCTAACATTCATCGCTTAATTATTAAAATTTTAGATATCCTTCTTTTAAAAGGTTCCAAGCAGATCATACAAAGATGTAGAACAAAAGTCTTGAAACCAAATCTAACAGTGAACTTTTTATCGTTGTATTTTGAGATCATTTATGATCGATCTACAATAGCTATAATAGTGACGTAAACTTTGATTCTACAAGGCAATCAATCATGTTTGTATAACGCCTTAATTGTGAGAATCTAGTTTGTGGTCCTTTCATACTTTGGGTTGGGATAACAGTTTTTACCCAGTGGAGGGCATGTCATGAGGAAGAAAGACATTTAATTACCCCAATGCAGTGAATAGACCCCCAAGGTCGCATAATGTTTGCTTTGCAACTTTCTTAAACACGGCCCGCGGAAATACCACTAAGAAGGAGCGTTAGGTACGATATTCAAAATGGCTGCTTGGCATTATGTTGCTGCCATTGCTGGCTCCTATCTCTGCACATCCTTGTTACTCTTGAGATTTCCTACGATTCTTCACAAGAAGAAGAAAAACAAAATAAAATGCAGACATATCAGTCACCGTGGAGGTAGGAATGCAAATAAATTTAAAATTATCCCGTGTTTTGCAAATGTTCGACTTTGACCTAGCTTAGTATAGTATAGATGTTTACTTTAGAATAATTTGCATCAATTTTAGAGTCATTCAACTTTATTCGCATTTGAATTGTGAAAGGAAATGCTACATTGTAAATCTTAAATATGAGATTTATAACAATAGAAATTCCATTGCTGTACAAGTATGAAAGGAAATATCTGTTTACTTTTTTGCTGCTTGCCAACACCCCTGGTACATCAACTTGAAGTACTACTTCGAAAATAGGTACTTTTGTGGGCCAGCAAAGGTGTTACACACGCTTGGTAGAGGTATCTATTTCATTGGGAAAATGTACCTTTTCCATACAATATATTTGAAATCTCTCAATCTTTTCCCAATTTTCAATAAATTCATCTACTGACTTCCCATTTTATATCAACGATCACCAACCACAGCAAACTATTTAACAGAATCATATCTATCCTAGTTATGCCAGAGTCTTTTGGCATGCAGGTGTTCTCTGAGCCAGCATACTGGCCTAAGACTGAAGCCTTTTAACCATTGACTCTAAAGGTGTATCTCTATTTTTCCAACTTTGCAAAGGCAACCAATCTGAGCACTCTATTAGCAACTGTTGAGATTCAATCAGTGAGCCACTAACTCAAGAGCATTGCTTATGTATTTACCCAATTCTGACCTGATCTGCATGGTAAAAAGTTAACCAGCATTGTAATTTAGACAGCCTCCAAGTGCAAATTGGGGCAAATAACAAGCACATCTTATGTTTGGACACTATTATGCACAGCAAATTCCATTAGAAAAATAAGAAACAAAATAAGGAACCTGTTTGGCCAAGTATATGTGGAAATAAGAAATGCCAGGCTGAAACTGGAGTCAAGTGTTCTTAACCAAAAAGGTGTGTATTCATTACTCAGCAAAATTTTGCTCTTCCAACTTTTTGCATCTTCTAAAAAACGAACAAATTCACTTCAAAATGAACTGAGCTGAACTTCAGCTGTTTCCACAAGCCTTATTGCTGGTAGAATATTGATCTTCTCTTATTTGGAGTATGAGGATGGAGGATTTGTTATTGCATCTTTGATGATTTTTTGATGGAAAAGGTGAGCTGTTGGAATGTAACAAAAAAGTATCTTGTTAACCAATGCTTGTGTATCTTTGATGATTTTTGTGCTGTGCTCTGATTGTACTGGACAAAACAATCGTACAGCAATTCTATATTTCCAAAAAACACTTGTCCAGGGCTGGCAATAAGTATTCCAGGGAAAATAAGTAAAAGGGGTTGAGCATGTTCTATTTTCTGGCAAATTTTAAAAATCTCAATACATTTTGTCCAATATTTCAATTTTTCAGTCAAATTTTAAATTTGCTGACCTTTGAGACAAATTTTTTGGCAAGGGGCTGCTACCAACCACCCCCCTCCCCCAAGCCCTGTGCAACCATGAAATGTGATCCTACATTTTTTTATTCAAATGTGTTGCTATTGATTCCAATGAAATAACTACAAAGGTGCTATTTTATCTTGATAAAGTTTTAGATATGGTGATTTTCATGTTTAGAGACTTATTTCAACAAGTTGTTTCTTGTATACAGGTGCTGGAGAAAATCTAGAAAATACCATGACTGCGTTCAGAATGTAAGCAATTTTTCCTTTTATTGTGTTATGTTATGTTATCTTATATTATCTTATCTTATCTTATCTTATCTTATCTTATCTTATCTTATCTAATCTTATATTATATTATATTATATTATATTATATTATATTATATTATATTATATATTATATATATAATTATATTATATTATATTATATCTATATTATATTATATTATATTTATTATATTATTATTAATTATAATATTGTAATTATATTATATTATATTATATTATTATATTAGATTATAATATTATTTATTATATTATATTATATTATATTATATTATATTATATATATTAATTATATTATATTATATTATATTAATTATATTATATTATATTATATTATATTATATTATATTATATTATTTATATCAGATATATGATACAGTATTAGATACAACATTGTATAATATTTTCTTTTTTCCCTGTAGGTCAGTTGAATGTGGAACTGAAATGATCGAACTGGATGTGCAGCTGACTGCTGATAAACAGGTATTTAGAAAACCAGAGTTATAGACTAAGTTATAGCTATTTAGCTATAACTTAGTAAGCCCTTTTATGTTCCTTGTTGAGGTATGGCAAAAGACCCTAAGAAAATATTGATGAAGAAAGAGGCTTATATAATTTGAATTTTTTTGTGTAAACAATGTACATGTTAGATGGAGTAAACCATCATTTTCTTGATAAAGAGCCTCAACTGCTAAATGAAACTGGATGCAATTTACAGCTTTTTACTGTCCCAAGAAAATCTTTTCTTTGATAGAATCGTGTCAAAGGTGGCTGGACTCAAATGAGCAGTTTCTAGACCACTTGAGACAGCAAACTTGATGCTTATGATCACAGTAGAACCATTTTGCTTATTGGCCTTTTCCCATGACCCACTTGATGTAGGCACATTTTGACCTAGGTCCAAACGCTTTTGGTATTATTTTTGTTACAATCTAACACATATGTATTAATCAATTTCTGGGACCTGCTTAAATTTTTAAGTAAAGGCAATAAAAGCAGTTATTTTTCTGATTTCAGATTGTTGTAGCACATGACTTGAATCTTACAAGAACTTGTGGCAAAGATATCAATATCAGTGATTTGAATTTTGAGGTACCTTTTTTTAATATTCTTTAATTAAAATTCAGCCAAAATCTCTGCGGCAATGTTCAGTTCTTGTCAAGGTTATTGGTCAGTGTGTGTCAGTAAATGTTTGCTCCTAGAAATACATTTAATCTGGGACTAATTCTATTCCAACCCTGCTTTGAATGGCCTGTTGCATTTTCATGACCTTTAAAAGAATAATATATAATAATATCAGCTTCAAATATCTACTTTAATATTATTTTGTTGTAATATTTGTTCTACTAAAGGCAGTTGTTTATCAGTGAATCAATAAAAAAATATTTCGAAACAGGATGTAGAGCTCCGGTGCACAGGGGGCGGAGCCTCCTTATAAATGACATTAAGTGGCCCCTTTAAAACTTTTGCTATTGTTTTGTCAAAAAAATTCGTGAGGGCCTCCTTTGTACTTTTTGTTTTGATTAATTGAAAGATATGCTCTCAAGCTTTTCTGTTTTGCCTTTGAAGGATTTACCAGAGATGTCAAACCCATTAGCTGTCACTTTTTCAAATGGTTAGTAATCAGATTAAATTTCTAGACATAGATACAGCTCCTTGACTTCCCAAGGTAATGTTGAATTTGATAGATGCTCAGAGATTATAATGAACAAGAGCTATGGATTGGCTATAGTTAGTATCATTATTCTGTTTGGCTTTTCCATTGTCATTGTAATGTTATCATATATGTATGGTTCATATAATATATGTATGGTTCAATTGACTATGCATTTGCAAATTCCCAAAATGGAGATCTTAGAGTAACGTTTGCAATCCTTTCCATTCTGTAACTGGAGGACTAGCGTGAATTTGGGTCCCACAACGATCTGAACGTAGAGGAGTTGCCTGTTAGTAAGAGCACTTGCTCTTGGCTTTCAACAGGATACTCTAGGCTGGGCAGTTCTATTTTTCGTTGTCTTTAACTCAAGTGTTAACGCTAGAAGCCCATACATAAGGGCAGGAGACATAAGGGGTAGAAGGGCTCCCCCCCCCCCTTATCATATAAAAATCGAGTTTGAGGCTCTATTCGGGCAGTTCTATCTATTGGGGCATGATAAAAACTAAGTCGCTAAACGTTTTAAATCGGCTACGTGCGTCCAAATCATGGATTGACCAAAGGCTCGCGTCTATACCATGAATCGAACTTGGATCCGGACTGCAGTCAAGTAGTCTAGCCCTCAGCACTGCAGTTAAACTGTCTAACCACTAGGCCTCTTCGTTTTTTTGAGTATTGCATAGCTTAAAAGTTCAATTTTTAGCTAGATATATTTGATTGAACTTATAACATTGTGTTTATTGTTTTTACTTTGCAGATAAATACTGCCATGCTTCCAATAGCGACAGAAAGATCCCATTGCTTAAAACTGTATTTGACGAGTTTCCAAATTTGCCGATTAATCTTGATGTGAAGACATATGATGAAGAGTTAATCGAATTGGTATGTAATGTCTTAAATTTCATTGAACCAAAATTTTTCTCGCATTTGTTCTTATTTTGTTTACCATGCCCTTTAAACCTTTTGATAGTTTGTCGTACATATCAAGTTTGATATATATCGTGCATTGATCTTCATTAAAATATTAAAAAACTACATTACTTGGACAACATGTTCAAGACATTGTAAAGTTGTTTTCCCAATACGTTTCCATGCTGGAAAATTTGGCTTTTTTCTGACGGGTTATACCCTGAGGAAGATAAGAAAAAATTCCTTAATATATTGAATAAATAATGTTTATGCTATTTTGTACTTGTTGAAAGTTTATTTTCCCTTTAGCTCTTATCGATAATTTTTAAGCTAAAAGATACTAATCATGAGAGAAAACTAATCAGAATTGAATATTGAGGCATTTCGATCCTATTTCGATCCAGTTATGAATATATGAAATCTATGGCCATCATTCTCCCTTTGTGTTGGGGAGCTAAAATTGTTTTGCTTATTTTGGCTCTACTCATTGTTTACTTTTTGCAGGTGCATAAAATGATATGCGATTATGACAGAAAGGAAATCACGGTATGGGGAAATGTCAACGCCAAAACTGTTGAACGGCTCCACAAACTTGTAAGTCTCTTAAATGTATTAAGTTCATTTTGATTTTATCATTGTAAGAATGTATCTGATCAGAATCTTGTGAATTGATTGTCGCGTTTGAGCACGAAGAGCTAATTTTGGAACATAATGATTTCACAGCATGGCCAAATCCAAATATTTATCGTTTCAAAATTTTCTTGAGGTAAATGTGTGTACTGTTGATTTACGTATTTACGCAATGAGTCAAGAAATTATATTTTAAAAGATTTATTCAATCTAAAAACTAACAGGAACAAATTCTCGTTTGATTTGACTAGAAAAGTTCCAAGTATGCAATTTATCTAGCTGCTTTGATATTTTATGTTAGTTTTGTGTTAATTTGTTAATTTCGAAAATAATGCATAGATTATATTTATTTGCTTGCTGTACATGTATTGGTGCCTAACGTCTGAAATATAAAATATTTTGCAAATTAAAGTAAATTCATTAAGCTGTTTTCTTCCCAGGATCCAGATATACCATTGCTATTCTCTTTCAAAAGATGTGTTATACTTTTGCTGACATTTTACACTGGTCTTTTACCCTTTATTCCGCTGAAAGAGAGTTTCTTAGAAGTAATAATGCCATCGCCGATTTTGAGGTATATTGTCTAATACCTAGGTTGAATGTTTTCTCCAAAATTAAAGAACCACCATCGCACAACCACCATCGCACAACCACCATCGCACAACCACCATCGCACAACCACCATCGCACAACCACCATCGCACAACCACCATCGCACAACCACCATCGCACAACCACCATCGCACAACCACCATCGCACAACCACCATCACAGTTGCACAAATTTTCTCATAAAAAACTTACTGACTGTTCTTCTTGATATATAGTCATAAGACCCCTGTTTTTTTGCCGCTGTTCATAACTTTTTTTCCTTCTCTTTTTTCTCCCTTCTTTCTTGCTCCTTTTATTTTTTAACTGCTTATTTTTAGAGCCCCCATTTAAAAACATTTAATCCTGAACACAATCTCACACTGTAAACGTCATGTTTATGTAGCCCATTTTTGGCGTCTAATAATCTCATTGTTAGATTTTACATTATTATTTATCAGTAGTTATTATTCTTGCAGTATTTAACACTACCATACTGTTTCTTCCGAATGAAATAGTTATGTTTTGTGCTGAGCTGTTTTGAAAAACTAATGCTCAATGTCTTCTTACGATGATTTGCGAGCTGCAGAAATTGCCAAACCAAGTGTCTTGATTTCAAATATTTTTCAATTGTTTCTGGAATACTACTGCTTCCGTTCCACCCAACCAACCTCCTTTCTTCTACTCTCGGAGCAATCTTGATTGTATAGGGAAATATCGTTAAGTTTCATGAAAGCAGTTTCAGTAAGTTTCTTTGCCTTCTGATGTCATTTTGTATTAAGCCAACGTTGTTTGGATAGGGAGAGGTGGATCGCTGAAGACAGTCTTCTGTTAAAGGCAATTGACAGACATGAAAATGGCTCAAGTTGTCAATCAATATTAGCCAATCAATGTTTGAACCCCTTTAATATCTGTCTGTCGATTGGCTATAATGTTCTATCACTTTTGGCAGTGTTTGCACCTGATTACTTTCAGGAGCTTTTCACAGATTCTCAAGCTTCCCACCCGCAATAATTGTTTGTACTTTGATTTAAATGAACAGTACTTTCGTAGTTAGAATTTTCAAGCTGTCATCCAGCAATAATTTTTTCTATTCGCCTAAAATTATGTTTTCACATTTCAGGTGGAAAAAGTCATCGCTAACAAGATTTCAGAGGATAGTTATTAGAATTGTAGATTCGTAAGTTTCTCCTGTTACTTTGAGACTAGACTAGCATCCCTACTTTATGAAGTTTTTGAATTAACTCAATTATCAATATTGAGATTTAGCATGTGAATTTCCAAATGCAAGCCCAAACATTTCTAGAAAATCTGTGTTTTCCTTTCAAGTAAGATAAGCTGCAATGCAGTTCTTGTCCTTCAGAAGGTTAATAAGATATAAACTTCCCAATCAGAACACTATTTCTTATTCAATTCGGATAGTACAGTTTTTCATTTGACTTCGCCAGATAAAGCATTCTGTCATGAACAGCCGATCAAATCAGCACCAATGAGTTTTGTATGTGTGCCTATCGTTAAAGCATAGGCTCAGTAAGGCCAGATTTCCTGGTAAATTTCATTGACCATTCCAGATGAATTTCTTTTACTACCCGTTTACGCTCATTTCTTACTGCATACTTTCTGTCCATATTTATGTTTTAATTGATTCATTCCTCTAATACATGGCGTCCTAACAACCCTTTTTAGAATTCCAACTAACTCGAATTGCAAGAATAATTTTTCAAAGTTTGAAGAAAATAAATAAAATGGCATATGAAGAAACTTTAATTCTTTTTCAGGTTGTTTATGAATTCATATTTATTTAAGCATCTAGAAAGACGTGGTATTCAGGTATGGTTATTCCTCCTTATAATTGCAGTGCAATTCTTTACAGCAATGTATCAATCTACAGCTCGATGTACAAAATTGATGTACAAAACCTGTCAAACGTCTTGGAATACTATCAACAGTTTTACTTGGCAAATTCAGCTATCCCCACTTCAAACAATGTTGGTTCACTACAAAAAGACGTAACAAATTATGAAATAAATTTGTCATGTGAGTTGTATGATGTTTGCCTGAACTATGAGCATTGTCCTGTTGGAGGGAGGGGGGGGGGTAGCAAGATTCGGGAGAATAAATGAGAAATATGAAAACAATGATGGGTATTTTTGGGTACCAAGTAATTTTGGCAATGATGGCAGCAAACATTGATCAGCGAAATGAATCTCAAATCGCTGTATTAAATTTTTTAGACATTTCTTTGGGTTTTAAATGAAGAGGAAGACTTTGCTCGAGCTTTTGACGAGCTCGGAGTTGCAGGAGTGATGACAGACTACCCAACCTTGTTAAAGACGTACCTCGATCAGAGGGACAAGAAGGCTGATGAAAAGGAGACTACACAGTCGGATCCTCTGCTTAGCGCTGGTAATTAAATTTCTTTAAGTTAGTTTCAGATAATCTCGATTCTATATTAAAACATAGTAATGTTTCAGATATACCTTTTAGCAAGTTTTCCAGGTGTAGGATTTATAAAATAACAGCTTTACAGTCTTCGACCACAATTAATTTGTGATTGGAATACAGGAAAGTGATTGGTAATAACCCACTGATCTTTGCTGAGTCTGTCATTATGCATTCAAATAAGAATGTACGCCCAACAAGGACAACTGAGGATATGGTTTAAGTTACCTTGAAAATTATCTCTTTGCATTATTTTAAGTGTATAAACAGAAATCAAAATTTGATTGTAGTCGTGCCTGGAAGAGAGAGGCTTCGTTCCTTTATTCTATGTTGGAATGACAGATTCTGTAGTTGGAAGAATCTATTTAGGTTATTAAAAACAGACTTGTTGAGATTCTACATAGTGTTCCTATACAGGATAGACATGCAAAATTATGAAACAAACTACATAGCCATGAATGCTCTTTATATATCCAGTCCTCTTATTGTAGGGTTCTTCGATATTTTAGTTCATAATTACCATTTTCCGCTCCAGCTGTATCTTCTGCAGTATCTAACATAAATTAATGCCCATTGACCAACAAAGTGTATTGTATTTTGGGATTTCTAACTGTTTTATGCACGAAAAATATGTTATCACTATACAGATTTGTAATATCCTTTTGTGCTTTAAGAGCATCTTCCAGTATTTGTCGTGGCTGGCAATTTTCTTTTAAGAAAAATGGATATCTGCTTGTTGCCAAATGAACATAAGTAGAAATTATATGAGCAATAGGCAGTAGGTTCATGTACGTAAACAAGTATAGGCCTAATTTTGTTTGATTGTTGAGAAAAATGCTACCTTACCATAAACATTGTAAGATTATATCCTGTAAGTTCTAAATATACCCCAGAGACGACACCGGTATTGAAAGATTGTTAATCGCTATAAATGTCCAAGTTCTAAAAGCCTAAAGGCCTGGCATTAATTCTAATTGCACTTAATCTTAATGTAAATCTTTTTGATAAAATTTATCATAAACTTTGTCTTTAGTTTTTGAAAAGGTTTCGAATGTCTGGGAATTTGCTGTGAAGTTTTTTTTCTCGGTTTAAAAAGGTATGAAAAAGTGTCAAATATGTTTCAGCTCATGAATTCAAAATATTATTCATGAAAAAATGATCAAATTGCCCTCCTTGAACATAGATTTTACACTACATATTGGCATAATGGCACTTTGAAGTCAAAATTTTTGTGCCGGGAAATCAAGGATTGTGCACACAAGCATAAGGGACGAAAATGTTTACTCTCGCATGCTCCCAATACTTCACAATTTTCATTGTATAGATGACTTTTCTATGGAATAGGATGGTTGTTAACACTCCCTTTTGCTTACAATGCCATTAAGATTGTGAGTAAATCAAATATCTTAATGAAACAGCTCTAGGCGATTTCTATCTTGTTGCTTTTAAATGTTCGTTTTTCGAAGGTAAAATTTTAAACTATGGCAGTATCAATTTTATAAAAGATCGCATAAAATTATAAAAAAATATCGTATCAATTTTATTACAAATAAAAATTTATGTTACACCAAATAAAATCACAAGTCTTAATTTACAATTTAGCGTGATTCTAAGATCAGGATCTTTGAACATCCTGGAAAACAATTTTTCCTTTTTGCAGATTTAGCTCAATTGATCAGATTTTCTTATCCCCTGTATACCATCAACTCATGGACAGCACAGCATAGAAATCAAATATTAGCAACCCCTGGTCAGCACCCCCGAGTTGAAGCAAAACTATCCGCTGCAATATTGTTGCTAGGGAAATCAACCAGTGTGTAAATAAAAGAAAGGTCACAATAGCAAAACTGCTCGACGGACTCCGATCGATAGAATTCTTGCGGCGAAAAATAGATAGAAATGTAGCAAGTAAGGAACACCACAACGCGACGAGAACCAACAACAATAAACACACGTAGATTAACTATAACTTATATTATGTCCCGGCATACGGGGCTTCGTCAGGGCAAAAGTAACCGAACTACAAAGTCTACAAATTTGAAATAGGCGATGGTGGTGTCGGATTGGTGGGTGTAGAATGGTATGAATTAAACGCAGCGTAGAAGAAACAGGTAATGAGAGTGGAAGAGGGAAGGGTGGCGAGTAAGAAAGCGTGGATGGTGGTGGTGGAATGAAAGTGTTCTGGGGGTGGGCAGTAGTGATAATGATAAAAAGCTTTGTGATATTTAATAATTATGATAATGATAACAATGATTTTAAAAAAATAAAAATTAGAAAATGATAAAGGCAATGATAACGGGAATAATGATAATAATTATGAGTCAATAATACTTTGTTAATAAAAAAAGATGATGTGAGTTATGTTTGTGTGCTGCTGTAAAGTTAACAGTCAGTGGTTATGGACATGCCGTTGGGTGTGAGGGTTTTTGCAAAGCCAGTGAGGTATTACCCTTTTGCTCGTCGAACACTCTCTCATTTGTCGTTAAGGTGCAATAATGGTGTTATAATAAGGTCATTGATTGTATGTTCTTGGCTGCAGTCACGACATCGCTATTACAGTCTGTTACTTATGCCCTAGGAGGGCAGGCAATACAGGAAAACCATTAACCCACGAAGGCTCAAATTTACTATCCATTATAAAAAGGTGTCCTGTGTCCGGAGGTTTCTTTGATAGTTGGAAAGAAAATTTCGGAAAAATGTTTTGAACACAGAGAGACTTTTGGCATGAAACAAGAAGGTTTTAAGTTGCTGCTCTGAGTTTCACGCTTAATGGGTGGCATTTGTGTTGCTTCTTAGAACCGTCCTGTTCTATACACCGTCCTGTTCTATACACCAAAAAGCGTGCTGTTCTATACAGATCTGCCAATACGACATCGATCTCTCTATGACAGAACAGTAAACGGTAAATTTCATAAACATGAAGACATGGTAGTTATAAATATAGAATGCTTAGTGACTACAACAACCAATCGCTACTGTTATACGCTAAAGAATTCTTAATAGCGTACCATTGTGTAACGCCACCAAAAATGTCCTTTCAGAATTTGTAATTGTTGACCACACAACTTGAAAAACAACTTAAAATTTGTTTAAATGCAACTAAGTTTCATCTGTTGCGAATTGGCTAAGATATTGCAAGTAAGGGAACTGAGCTTTGCTAACAGATTTCCGTTGTTTTGGCCATGTTGATAGATTTTGGAACCAAGGCCAAACTATTGTGATTTGATGGGGGAAATAAGCTGAATTTGCTGTGAGAGTTTGATTTTGTTTGTATTTGCAGTGGCGCTTTACTTTGTTGTAACAGCTGTGGGCCACCCTACTGTTCACCCGTAGTCGTAACACTGCCGATATATAAAATATGAAGCTGATTTTCACGTTAATGCCTTTTTCAAGTTAGAAGATCTGTTGATGGTATTAAGATATTTTAATCAATCGACCCCATTCCTTTCCGTTGTGATGCATATGTTTGTGCAGCACTAGTTTTGGCTTTTTCATTGGAAATCGCCTGTATCTACCATGAATTAACTTTATAAATAAAGCCAAACGGTGAATTTTCCTTTTTATGATTATTTTGATTTTCACTCTTAGGTTGTAGGAGGCGACGAAAAGTAGAAGAAAAAGGGTGCGAGGAGGCAGTGAACGCAGAATAGGCAGATCTGCTCCACATAACGTTAGAAGCTCAACAAAATTTTCCAAATATAGAAAATATGAATTGATATATATATTATAGAGTTTTATTGCCAATCAAACCAGTTAAATTAATACGTGGATGTCTATATCATTTTATAATTTTATTCAAACCAGTGCATGTCCATAGTGCATATCAACATCGTATTAGTTAATGATTTTTCTCAATCAAGTTTTTCTCAGCACGCGTTTGCGTTCGGTGATATGTTTTTGTGAATGGCTCAGTTTTACTAGACTGGAATTAGCATTAACTTGTCTATTTTAACCCTATATTTTTATCTATCTTAAAATACACTATATATAGTCTTTTAATTGATGAAGAATCGTAAGAATTTCAATTTGTAAATTTAGAAACGTTCTGCACTGTACTTGGGAATCAGTGCTCTTGGTTATATTGAGAAACATAACATCATATATTATGAAATCTTTTTTCGTCATTTCGCCTCTAAGTAGAGAACATGATGAGGTCAGATAGCACGTTCCTCCAAAAGCATTGTGAAAGAAAGACCTTCAGCAAAAGATGTTTAATTTCTCTTAAAATATGGCTGAGTCATTTGTTTTTTTAATGATATGTTAGTTTTTCGATATGAAAATGTGAAAAATGTGACTCAGACGATTACGTGGGCGTGAGATAAGTTTAAAAAAGAAATAATAAAGACATTTGTTTGGTTAAGATTTGCTTTTACCATGGGCATTAGCTGAGGGAAGTTAAAAATTTGGATTGTAATAAGGATTGTAGTCTTGGTATTTGAATTTTATTGCATTTTGGAAAATGTCCATAGAGTTGAGTGGCTGCGTCCAAAAAGAAGTAATGCAGTGGGAGACAATGTACTCCTAAAGGATGCAACAGTACCAAGAAATGACTGGTCAATGGAAAGAGTTGAATTGAAAACTATGTTCAAGGACAAGATAGAAAATTGCAAGACCATACAGAGTTAGAGCCATGTCTTCAGATTTTGAAAGACCAATGACAAAACTAGGGTCACCTGGAAACGTGAATGGGAGATTGGGGCTAAGCTGCGACAAAAAGAGCGCGAAATCATTTGTAAACGCCATTTATCAAAGTAATGAAATCATTTTGCGTTCAAGTACTCAATCGACGAACGAATAACTGGACAAGAAAATGACCTCGAAGAAGTATGTGTCTGCTTTTTAGTGTATGATGTTTTCGGTACTCTTTTTTCATAATTATTTTTTAAAGGGACATGCATATATATATCGCACAGTTTTTTTTGTTTTGCCACAGAGAGGAGTAAAATAAAGCTGACTGACTTGACCTAAGTTCGCCCTGATTTGGTGGATTAAAACGGCTATTTCAGTTCGGTAGTTGTTTCGCATTAATTCTCAAAACAAAACCTGTAAATTTCAAATTGTCAAATATCTTTAAACAAAAACACTTAAGAGTAAATTTGATACATTTGAAATACAATATTCGGCTAAAGTATTGCACTTTGTCAACGCCGTAATTTTTCCCCTTGTTTTGACTCTTGCGAAAGCGACAATCTTGCATGCGCCAGATTGATAGATAAAAAAAGTTCAATGAAACCTTGGCATGTAAGGATATTTTAAAGGTGTTTGCAAGTGTCTAATCACTTATTTTCTTTTCGATTTTTTATGCGTGCGTGCTAATACTCTAGGGTATCAAAAGTATTGCACCACCTCGAAGAAGGAGAAATGGCGCATGCATGAGCGAAAGTTACAGTTATGCTATCGTTATGCAAATTAATTCTGTTTTTAGAGGGCCAATGGCAATTGGTCGAAAGCAAAACAACGACCAATCAAAACGTCAATCTATTTAGAGCATTTGTTTTAAAAATAACAGTAGAAAACGTCTTTTAACAGTTTCAAATTTCAACAATTTGACGGGTAGCCGCAAACTTTTGAAACTGCAAATAGCCTCCTTGAAATGGATCCATACATTTGACCAACGTATTCTTGTGGAATTTCGTATTAGGCCTTGAAACGTCTTCCAATTAATGATTCTCTGGTCTTTGGACCACCTTTTGGATCACGGTTTGTAACCTTTTTCATTTGAAGTCAAACTTTTTAAGTGATGTTAAAAATTGGACTTTACTTTGACTATGTCAAAGCTTTAATTTCTTTTGTTTGGAAATAATTCTTTGTAAAAATAGTTTCCGTTTACTCAGGTAAATTTTTCTTTTGTATTTTTTCAAAACGCTCATTATATTTTCTGTGGACGGATTTTGAGCTGCACAACCTTGCCCAGTTTCGAGTTTCATGTCTTTTACTGCCTCTAGGTGCAAACGCAGTGAAATAAAAAGACAAATTCGTTCCCCTCTAACATCAATTTATTTCTGGTCGCCCACTTCTCGGTTTCTTTACTACTGTAACACTCTCGAGAAATCTTTTTTAATTTCCCGCAGCAGTTGTGTGACGGCATCTATCTTGGTGAACATTTTTTTGAAAACTGAAGACCACTTCCCTGTAAATATTTTATAGCTACTCGCACCTTGTTTGACAATTTTGCTTCCTTAGGCATGGTCTACATTTTTACAAACAAAAATGTCTTTGCTTTATTTAAACATTTCCAACTAAGTTTTCTATGGCGTCAGCAAAATTTGCAACTTTTTCCCGCCGAAATTTGCTACAAAATACGCCTATTTTACCCAATTTCTGCATTCAAATGTTTTGTATTGTCAAAAAATTTACAAAAAGTGCCGCCATTTTGAACAAGGTGGTGCAATACTTTTGATACCCTAGTGTATGTAGCGAAAACATACCCAATCAGGGCGATGCCATAAATTTAGGCCGTCAAGACAACTAAGAAGTATCACAGCTTTTCAAAAAGCGATTAGAATATATATCTGAAGAGCCTGAAAGATTTAGTCAGTGCTAAGTTTAATGTACAAGTTTACGCGGAACAGGAAATATTTAATTTGTATCTAGGTATACTCAGTCATGGCGACGTGATCCTATGTGTGCTTGATGAGGCAAGACAACATGAAATGAAATTTAGTACACAGTATTGCAGTCATTGCTAGGGTTGCAATTGGGGGGGGGGGGCTGTGTTAGTACTGACTTTCATTTACCTTCAAGTTGTTTACCACTTAACTTGTTTTTTTCGCGTTTGGTTCTTGTTATTGTCCTTTGTTCTCTGTCATTCTGGCTGTCTTGGGAGTCGCAATGCTGTCATTGTTGGTGTGGCGCATTCGCGACACGTTTTATAGGTCCGTTGAGGGTTTATCTTGGGTATAAATGTCGCACGTGTTCTTTAGACAAACTCTTTGGAAGCTACAGCATCTTTTGGTGAGTGTTGATAGTTGTTAGTACCTTGTTAGTTAGTTATTTGTTAACGAGTAATCTGATATCAAAATCTGTTGATTCGTGTTTATTCCCCTAATTTATACTTTCCTTGTTTTGATAAATCGATACTGTTCGCATTTAAACAGGTCGCTTCCTGCTGAGGTTCTCTGCCACGTGGCCAGACTTGTATGCAAAACAACGCCCCTCCCTACCCGATTAAAAGACGATACTGAGCCAATCATCCCCCCATATCAAAATGTTTTTAAAATAGGTCGGATATTTATGTTAACATAGCCAAACGATGGCAGCGAAGCGAAACTGATATGGTAGATAAACACGTGTCGAGTTTTAGAGCTACAACAACAACGGATAATAATTTTTTGCAAGTGGTATCGAGACCGAGATGACCCATTACCTAATTACAGTACAAAAATTACACAATTAAACGCATATTAAAAGTATAGATTTTATAGTGTGAGACTACATATCTAAAGCATATAAAACAATTTACAATAACAATTATATATCATTACCTTAACAATTTTCAACACTTAACTCAGAAAAAATTATAGTTTACATCTAGATGGTAAACAGTTTTTGAAGATTCAGAGGTAGAAATGTTTTCGTTGATGCATAGCAATCCCGGTACTGATTAAAGTGTTTTAGTACTTTCTTGGAATGCTCTATAGCAGTATTGTGCAATTTTTTCAAGGCAAACATTGTTCTCTTGACTCATTAACCAAATGAAAACTTTTTCTGTATCAAATCCTCAAGCTGACAGAGTCTCCAAAAAATTGATTTCTAACATGTCCTTCCTAATTTGTTCATACAAAGCTCTCACATAGGCGTACGGAATTAGTTCAAGTAGGGGGGGGGGGGGGGCGGGCTGAAATTTTTTTGCCCGAAAAATAATAACGCCCAAATACGGAGTATACCTTAACACATGTGAGCTTCTAAAATTAATCAAGAAATGATTAAAATGCGTCATTAAAATGATTTACATATTTTCATCAAAAAAGCGAATTTTTCCACGACAGTGACCAAATATATCGATTATTTGATCGATATCTTTTTGTGAACATGATTTGCATCATTTTCTGCATTTCACGCACTTTTTTGCTTACCTGCCCATTCTTGCGATTATTGAACAGTTTGCGTTCCATTTCTAGGAGGCCAAAAACTCATAATCTATTTGTAGAAGGAGCAAACCTTTATGATGATTTCTGTCGAAGGGTTGGCATTCATACTTGCATTCCCTTATCACGGGCCAGTGGCTTAACACAGCACTAGGGCACCTTGATTCAGCGTTTTTCAACCTTTTCTATCAACAGCACATTATTTGCTGATAGTTTTTAAATTTTTTTCAATTTTATAGACCAATTGAATGAAATTACAGAATTTTCCACGGCACACTAGGCAATACCTCAAGGCAATACATCCAAGGGCCCCCGACAAAAAGGCGCCCAAGGTGCTTTTACGATCAGATCTTTAAAGCTTTGCTCAAATTCAAATAATTTTTCAAAACTTTGAAAGTTCTTCAACTGAAGCTCTAAAACTCAGTCCTCCTTGCTACCGAGAAAATAATTGTTTTTACCAAGGCTAATTTTACTATCATTCACAGGGGGTTTTAAGAAAATTCTTGTCTTTTCTGAGGCTAATCTATGTATTTGACATAGTATTCTATTGTGTTTGACATGCTCTACACCATTGAACGTGATCTTCTTGCTGTCTGTGAATAGAAGTCCTGTAGCAGTTTTTCGCTTAGGGTCCCAGATGCCTCCGTTACGCCAAATCACATAAAATGCGATAGTCACTATCACTAAATCGCGCGCAGATTTCTTTCAAACAACATTACTTTCTGCAACATTAAACTAATGGTCAAGTCAGTGGACATGGATGCTCAGTGGAGAACAGTCCTCCATTCGCTTTTCCAAGCCCTCCGCTTTGCTGATCATTTTAGACCGTCGAACCATTTGCCAAACAAGTTTCTACATACCCATTTAAGTCCAATTTGTACAATTGCTGGAGACTGAGTTTTGTAAACTTTAGCAAAAACTTCCTTTCGGACACCATTCAGTGCAAAAATGACACAAAACGACATTTATTCGTGCTGACGAAAGTC